GTGAGAGAACCAAAGTGAATTAAAATGGAGTAAAATAGTGAGAAAGGAGGGAGAGAGGAAAAATGTGAGGAATAAGGGAAAAAAATAAAAAGATAAAAGTGAATGGGAGAAGATGGGAAATTTTATCAATTCTCACAATTATCATATACATTATAAAGATACAAATTTGGAGTAATAAAAGAGGAGTTAAAAACTTGTAATGAGTAGAGGAGAAAAATATATATATATATATATATATATATATATATATATATATATAAAAGAGGTGAGAATAGAAATTAAGAGTTTTAATAGATAGTATAATGAAAATTTTTACAATGAATTAAATTCTTTGGTCCAATATTAAATCTTTACTATAGATTGGGGTGTAATAATATAAGAAAATAAATAATGGATAGGATTTGCTTACTCACCCTTACCCATTGCTGATGTGCTCCAATCACAAATGAAAAGTGATAAATAAGGAAATCAAAGGTGATTGAATTTATTCTAAAAAAAAATGTTGTCCTTTATCATTTTTTTAATTATGTACTTGATTATTTGTGCATTTATGATTGGACCAAATTAGCGGTGAGTATGGATGAGTAGACAAGTCTTGTCCATTATATAATGTATAAATGTAAGAAATAAAATTTTAGGGACCTTAGTAACTGCCTAAGTCGCCTAAGGCTCCAGCCTGAACCAAAGGGTTAGTGTGTTTGAATTCTAGTATGATCAAAGCACATGTTTGAATCTCAATATTTATTTACTTATTAAATGAATTCATTCAATTTTCCCTTATAAATATCATTTTGTATTGTTGAGATTTAAAAATATAAAATATATAGTTAAAGCTTTTACAACATCTTTATTTTCTTTTTGGTTTTTTTTCTTTAAGAAATAAAGAGTCATACTTTCATTTAAACGTATATGATCTTTAACTACTTTTCCTTTATAATAATATCCATATATATTAATACTTTCATTTAATGCAATTCATTACTTTATTAATTGTTGATTAAAGGTGATTTGGATTTGGATTTAAATTTAAATTTTGGATCTAATCAAGATTCAATATATATATATATATAGGCTTCTCATATTAATTTTTAGACTACCAAGACCTGATGAATCTGTCTCATATTTAAAATTGTTTATGTACAAACTCTATCATGAAAATGTGAATATATAAATCTAAATATATTTCATAAAATTTTGTACAAATTCTAACAAATTAAGTATTTAATAATGCTGGCAAATGTCTATATCTCAAATTTTTTATTAGGTTATTACGATAATCTTTTCAACAAATTGTTTTAAATAATCTTAGATATTTTAACATTTAGTGAACACTAGACTCACTAGTTGTCCACGAAGAAAAGGATCTTGTGATGACCAGTCTCTAGCAGTCAATTAAATGCAACTTGACAAATTTGTAGTACAAATTCACACACAAATGAAATGAACCACATCTTTGGCGACCTGCATTGATCTATTCGGCTTTCATGGCTTCTTCAGACCATTCAGGAAGATTTTTCTTTTGTTTGTTCGGTCTCTCTTCGTCCTGTCTTGTTGTTTTTTTTTTTTATTTGAGAAAAAATATATATATATTCATAAATAATTTTTAATTAAACCGCCAAATTGAGCATCACCTCATGTCATTTAATGGCATGTGGGTCAGATTATTAGACCTATCATAAAATATTATATGATATGATTTTTCTTGTTTGTGACGTTTGCCACATTTGAGAATGTTAGATTTGGAGGTCCAAGTGAAAGTGACATAGCTTTCTAGTTAGTTATAGGTCACATTTAAATGACACACTTGTATTTTAAAAGCACAAGAGTTTGGTATATTTCTCTCTCCATGCATGTGAATTTATCTATATATTCCTACTTATTTTAGTGAATTTAATGTAGTTAGGTTTTTGTGAACAATTTTAGTTGTATGTGCTTTAATGGTTTTGTCTAGTTAAGGATTGGGATTGGTTGTTTGTTTGTTTGTTTGGGCATTTCTTGGTGCAATGTTAAAATATTAACGTGTCAAGCATCAAAACACATATTTGAGTATGAAAATAAAGACTTTGTTTAGCCAACAAAAAAGATTATTTCAGAGTGGTATTTTTTTATCTTTCAAATAGAAGATTAATGTCCTGTTTGGTTGGAAGGATGGAAAAATAAACGGAAGAGAGAGGAGGAGGGATGAATGAGACATCCTAGGGAAAGAAATGTGTCTCCCTCACTTTTTGTTTGGTTGGGTGAAATGAATAGTAAAAAGGATAAATAGGGTGACGCTTTTTTTTTTTTTTTTGGTTAGAAGGGAGGCAAAGCAAGTTTTTACATTATTTTTTACCAATATACCCTCATTAATGCATTAGAGCTTAACATGCAAACTTTTAGGAAGGTTAAAAATGTAAATTATTTATTTGTTAGTTATAATCTTTTATTTCTCTCTCCTTTTCCCCCCAATTTGGGTGGATAGAAAAGTACAAATGAAGGATATGCTTTATTCACCCCTCATTGTTTCCTCCCTATATTCCCTTCCCTTCAACCAAATATGAAAGATATATTTTATCCCTCTTCTCATCCATCCCTCCCCAATCCTTCCCTCCAACCAAACATAAAGGTTGAAGTCAATGATTTTTTGAGCTTGGTTCTCCTTCCTCTTAGATTCCAAAAAAACAGATCACTTTTTCCTATCCTGTTTTTTCCCACACACACAAAAGAGAAGAAAACACACACACATGGAATTGGTTATTTGGTACCTCTAAAGCCTCATAAGAGCATCTCCAACGCCGGCTTAAAGGGAGAGCCCAGCCCAGTTCTGGCGACCCAACCCACTCCAATGGGGTCACCAAATTTGGGCCAGAAATCCATAATCTCTATATTGGTCGCCAGAACTGGGCTAGTGTCATGGGTTCTTGTCTGTCAGTAAGGATTGTTTTGGGTATATAAGGTTGAAGGGTATTAGCACTACCTAACAGCTTAAGTTCTAGAATTGGATCCCAAGCGTCCGACCCATGACAAATGGTAACAGCTTAGGCTTTTGGGTTTTAAATTGCAGGCACTGCATACAATGACCGTGTTCGGCTATAACATTGGGCTGCTTACCATTTGGGCCAGATAAAAATCCAACAGAAAAGTGATTTTATTTTTAGACTGGGTTGCTCCTAGAACAAAGTTAAAAATTTTGATTCATAAATTTTAAAGAATAAATTATTTGTGTGATATTCGTCATGAATTGTCTACTTTTATTATTGTTGTCCAATAGATAGATCATATAATAGAGATTTATTTGTAACGACATTACTTCATCCAATTTTACAGTCTATATGCAAACATACTAAATGGCAGTGTTATAATACATATTATTGACCTTAAACTGTCCTAGATTTTTTAATTTAAGATATTATGCAAAAAAAATAAAAATAAAATGAAGAACATATTATTATGGGTATAAAATATAGTAGGATCGTTATTCTAGTGGCAATAGTGTCATATTAGTTGGGTTCAGTGTTCGGATTCTGTGTAATTGGGCTTCGACTGATTGAAAGCCCAACAATTACATGAATTATGGATTATATCAAACAGATGAACCAAATTTATGTGCATTGGGAAGTGTGAGGAATTGAAGATCCTTTCACATGCGTTGTGGTCTGTATGTGGAGTGATCTCCATCTCTATGTGTGCATTCGACTGTGCTAACGAGCGAAAAATGAATTATACGTATATGGATTTTAAAAAAAAAACCCTTTTTTCCTTTTTGGCTCAAATAATAACTAGATAAAAAATGAAAGATAAATTATACGTTTTACATATCTACAAAAACAAATCCATTTACATATTTCTTTTTTGTTCAAAAAATAACTAGATAAAAAATGAAAGATTATACATATTAAAAATAAACTATTTACATATCTACACAAACAAGTCCATTTAGATATTTCTTTTTGGCTCAAAAAATAACTAAATCAACATGTTATTGGTTCAATATAAACACTCATCGAAATTTACTATTATTATGTTTGAAAGTACCGAATATAGGTGCCTTGAATTTAAAATTAAAAAAAAAAAAAATTAGTCAAACTTTATATTAAATTTTCTTCAATCTTTTTTAGGTTGCCAAAAACAAATACTATTTGAATGCGTATTATATGAGACTATGAGCACTACGATACTACCCAATAATAAAAGCATAAATTATTTTGTTATCCATTCTGAAAATGTGGCCCCACTTCTTCATCAATCACACGGTGAGTGGAATATAGTAATGGAGGTCTATACTATATATGGTAGACATGCGTGTAACGAATCATACTTGACCCTTGATCTCTACCAAGTGACAAATGTCTTATCAATGTTTGTTGTTGGTCTCTGCCCGTTGACAGTCCTTTGGATTTGCCTTTCTTCGCCAGTCCCCTTGTCTTTTTACACGCTAGAGTACGATAAACCATGCTTACTCTCCATTTATGTGGATAAAGACTTATTTGTTCGGAATGAGGTGGAATTAGTGATATGGAATTACGAATATTGATATATAATATTATAATTTATTTAAACAGAGTATTTTTATTTATATGATATAATACAATTGATTGATGACACGAGAAATGAAGTATTAAAGATACATAAATGTTTTAGAATTATTAAACTCATAATAAATGTTTTAGAATTATAATTGGTTAAGCTCTATGTAAGTGTGTTTCACAAAAAAAAATGTCCATCTATAGAAATTTATAATTTTTTAAAATGTAATTTATAATTTTTTATTATTATAGTGATATGAATTTTCATAAATTAAGAATATTAAAAAAAACAATATATTAATTTTGAATTAGGACAATTATTTTAAAACAACCTAAAACAAAAATGCTGATACTTTTTGAACATGTAAGAAGATATTAAATTTGGACTGCTCTCAACTTAAATCTAAAATAGCCTCAAATCTTTACTGAAAAAGAAAAAAAAATAAATAAAGTTCCAAAAAAAAAATTAGAATGGGAAAAGTGCAAAAGGAGAGCGACTATACTTGAGGTTCCATAATCGAGCGAGTAGGTAAAGGTCGAATATTGTAAGGGAGTTATCAATACCTACTTGGCAACTTACCATATTGGTTCTGGAAACAGAAACCTTGTCATCTGTAGTTGTCAAAAAAAAAAAAAAATGTTCTAAAACCCCCCTCTCTCTCTCCTCTCTCTCTCTCTCTCTCTCTAGACTATACATTTTCATCCACGAGAAGGGTGGCTTTTTCTTCTTTCATCGGTCTCCTAAAAATCCCCAAATCCCAATATCCCAGTTCCAACCTTTCAATAGCTTTCCAGATTTCTTGGTAAGTCTTACAAAAGTCTCTTTTTTAAAAAAAAAAAAAAAAATTCATTTGTGTTCTTTTCTATGTATCATACTTCATTTGTTTCTAAATTTGATGGTTTATACATAAAGGGAGGGTTGGTGCTTTGAATTTTGTTATATATATATATATATATATATTGTATATTGGGGTTATCAGTTATGGGGGCTTCAACCATTAATTCTGAAAGAAATTAAGCATTTGCGTTTGGGCATAATATGATCGGTCTTGTAATTTGAATTGCATGGTCTTTTTATGTACATTTGTTTGTTAAGATCTATTGTTTATCTTTTGATTGAATTCAAGTGATGTTTGTAACCACTCGAATTATTTAGATGTTTACTATTTTATCCATAACCGGTTGTTTTGAATTATTATTATTTTTTTTTTTTCATTTTCATGTGGCTACCCTGTTAATGGAAAAGCGAGCACACACACTGCACACACAGTAGCCATTCGCTTCTACAGCTTGAAGACATGATTTACACATAAAAATTGGGGATATCTAATTTATATATTCAAGCCATGTTTGGTTGTCTTTCCCAATTAGTTATAATTTTAACAAAATCGTCTCTAATTTCAATTCCAATTCCAAGGCAACAGTTCCATGCAACCACTCGACTTATTTAGATGTTTACTATTTTATCCATAACCGGTTGTTTTGAATTATTATTATTATTTTTTTTTCATTTTCATGTGGCTACCCTGTTAATGGAAAAGCGAGCATGGCTTGAATTAGTTATAATTTTAACAAAATCGTCTCCAATTTCAATTCCAATTCTAATTCTAAGGCAACAGTTCCATGTAATCGAAATTTTTGATAGAAAACGCATTCGCTTGTCGATGTTAGTATCTATTGCAGTTATATATTTACAAAAATAGCAAAAACATTTTATTTTATTATTATTTATGTATTCTCAATATTCTATGTGCACTTGGCTCAAGTGTAGAATTTATATTCTACAATATCTTAAAGTCTTAACCAAACCCTTCGCGTGGGCTCGATGCGCACTTGTCTAGTCTGAAGATGCTTTCTTATCTTATAGTTCAGGTGCTTTAGCTGTTTTTTTATTTCATTGACTCGGAACTTTGTCTGGTTGAATAATACCAAATACTTTAGAGTTGTTGAAACTAGGAAGATTTGTTTCAATTATTTATTTATTTTTAATTGATATAAAAAAATGCTTATGTATATGTGCCCCTTATGTTCAGGTGCAAAACCGGACATATTCTCTTGTCTGGATCCCAGTGTGCTAGGGTTTGGAATATATATACTTGGGCAGTGAGATCCCGGTGCTCATGTTGATGAAATAATGCAGCTATATCACCATCCATACTCTGTCGACAGCCAAAAGGTGAGGCTTGCTTTGGAAGAAAGCGGCGTCGATTATACGTCGTACCATGTCAACCCTATCGCGGGCAAGAACATGGATCCTGCGTTCTTCCGAATGAATCCGACCGCTAAAATTCCAGTTTTCCAGAATGGTTCCCACGTTATATTCAACACAACAGAGATAATCATGTATGTTTCATTCTTTCTTCGTCGTCGTTTGTTGACTTTTTCTCTTGAATATTTAAGTTGTGTTTGGAAAGATTCACAAACCTCATGATATATGATCAAGCAAGGATCATCTACAGTAACAGGTGTTGTACTGCAGTGGACGGCTGTAATAGTTTACACATGTGAGTGATCACAATCGTTCGATGCAGTACAGCACCATGTTGTTGTTATAGTAGAGGATCTGAACACACGTGTGGTGGCCACTATATTGATTTTTCATTATCATTTTTAAAGAATTTTCTGAAATCACATGTGAATAATGGAAATATGAAATTAGATACTGCTAAATGTGTTCCTTTTTTTCAACCACCAATTTGCGGTCCTCTGCAATTTCTCCACTAAACCAAATGAAACCCCCTCTATCAGTCTTTATTTATTTTATTATTATTTGTATTTTTTAAAATTATTATTATTATTATTATTTATTTGAAACTCTTGTTGTTTTGCAAGAATTTTTTTTAAGTGATGAAGAATGCTACAGGTATATAGAAAGAATTGCCGTCGTCTCTTCGGGTGGCAATGACAGCATCCTAAGTAGCAAAGAAGTTGTGGAATGGATGAACAAGATACAAGAGTGGAATCCCAAGTTTTTCACGCTCTACCACGTCCCTGAGAAGTATCGTCTTTATGTTTCCAGATTCATAAGGCGGGTGGTGATTGCTCGGATGGCTGAGTCTCCTGATCTAGCGAGTGCTTACCACCGGAAATTAAGAGACGAATACGAGACAGATGAGAAGTTGAGAAATCCGGATGTTGTGCAACGGAGCAAGGAGCACCTGGTAAGGCTTCTCGATGAAGTGGAAACAAGACTGAGTGAAACATCATATTTGGTAGGGGATGAGTTTACTATGGCGGATGTCATGCTCGTCCCTGTGCTGGCGCGATTAGTGCTCCTGAATTTGGAAGACGAGTATATCAATAGCCGGCCTAAGATTGCCGAGTACTGGAATGTGGTGCAACAGAGGCCTAGCTGTAAGAAGGTGATCGGAAGGTACTTCCATGGCTGGAGGAGATACAAAACTCTGTTGAAAACTTGGTACTTTATTCGCCTCAAAAATCTGCTAAGGAGATACTGATACAGAACAAAAAGGATGGATCGCCGTGTAGAGTGTGTGAATAAATTTTAAGGGAACTGTAAGGGAGAAGGAAATCTGAATTCTAAGATGTATTTATTCAATTGTATAGAGAGAGATTGCGGGTGAGCGTTGGCGGCCAACGGTAAGGTTGCACCAGGTCACAAGTTCGAAACAAGAAAATAATCTCTCTGCATGCGAAGATACAACTGAAAATTTGTTTTTTGCCTTTATTTCTGGAGTGCGAGGTGTTTGAAGTTTCTTGTGATTTTTTTGGAGCGTTAAAAAGCAGCAGAAAGATTCATTCTCTATAATGCCGGTTTCTATGGGAAGACCCAAAACTTAGAAAGCATTGAGATTGTGGAGATTAACAAAAAAATTCCAGTCATCAGCATTGCCTTTTTTTTTTCTTTTTTTTTTTAAGAAAATCAAATTTAGATGGAATTTTAAGAAATTTCTTGTTCCTTCAAAACCAAGAAATTTGTTGTTCTTAGTTCCTCCAAGCAACCGATTCAGTGCTCCCATTGCTGTGTGGCATCAAAAATTACTACCAGTTAACTGTAGTTGACAATCCAAGATAACTACGTTCTTGTCCTGCTCTAAATGCTAAAAACCTAGTACGAATATGGAATATTTTGCAGAAACCCTAAATTTGCAGGAACACTAAATATGCAAACACCGAACAAGTTCCCTTCTTCATCATACTCTTCATATCAAGTAATAAGTATAAAAGAAAGAGTCTGGAGCACATGCATATAACCAAGTGAAGGGGACACACACAGATTGATCAAATGCTTTATTTCACAAATCTCTTCGTTTTCATAATGGAATAAAATGAAGAATGCTTACCTCTTTGAGGTGTAGATATCCATATCCATGTGGGAAGACTGCCAAATTAAAGTAACCTCAGCCCTGAGCTATAAATATTGACTTTAAGAATAGGACTGAAACGTAAACAATTCTCCATTGTGAGTGAGAGAGGGAGGAAAAAAAAAAAAAAAAAAAAAAAAGGAAACAATGAATTGAAAGTACAACAGGTGGAGCATAAAAGAAAGTTTAGAAGCTTCTCGGAGTATGAATCAATGTCAATTTTGATGCTGTGGATGCCGCTGAAATGTACTATAAGGACTCTCCACTGCAGTGCCTACAAATTCTGAACTGTATGGGGGGTTTGGACCTTTGAACTCGTTTCCTATGGTTCCTACGCCTATGCTGCACATGCCACTTCTTGAGTTGTTTCCCGTGGATCCCCAACCATTTCTTTTCCTGAGCCAGGGAGGCCCCAGTTTTGAATTATTCCACTTTTGCTGCCTGAAGTACCTCGTTCCCAAACTATTGGAGTCCCTTACTCGTTGAGAATTATGCAGGATGTTTGCACCTGGAATATCCATATATGGTGAGCTCGCACCAGATGTGCTTGGAGTTCCTTGATCTGACGGGAAAGTGCCAGGATCGCGGCTTTCCTGTTCAACTTTTTCTGCAGGCCTACTCATTGTCATAGTGGCAGCACAAGCAGGAGTGTCTCTCTTGTCACGGGGATATGGGGGCAACGGTGGGAAAGGCTGGAAAGGCATGCCTGGAGCAATAACCCAACCTTCAACAGTTTCTTCACGAGGTGTCCCAAATTGCTGCACAACGGACAACGGAATTCCATACGAGACAGACCTGCGAGAATTGAACCTCCCCTGTGGATACCCCATAACCACTTCAACAGGACACTTTGCATGTCTAACGTCGTCTCCATGGAGATCAATACCAGTTGAAGCATTAGATGAAACCAGACGTCTGTTAAGAGGCGGCGAAAATCCAGGAGGAACATCCTCGTCAATATTCTGCTGTCTTTCATCTGCCTTATCAGCTCCCTGTTGTCGAGAGAAATTGTGCACATAACTAGGGCCAGTTTGTCCCTCTTTGCTTCTGCCTTCTGTATGACCTAGCCCAACTTCATCACCCTCAGGTTGTGCGCTTGAATACAAATTTTTGAACAAATTAGGCTGAGTCTTCGGTTCCTTATGCTCAGGAGATGTTAGTGGGTTTGTTTCTCCCGGCTGATCCCATCGGCTTTTACGCTTGCGCGTCTTTGTAACATTGGTTGTACAACCACTGCTACAAGAAGCAGAGAGGCTCCCCGGGGTATCACTATCAACTGGAGTCGTTGGAATTGTTGATGGCTTGATGCAATCTGTTGTTTCCATAGGCCTTACACCTTGATCACGCCAATGTGTGTGTGATCCTGAAAATCTATTGCAGCTTAAACCCCGGTGAAATTCCATCCCACTATCATCCATTTCCATGCAGCTAAATTTGGCACGTTGTCTAGGAAACCACTTGTCTCGGAAGCTCCGTGCAATTTGATGGACCTGTACGTGCAGTAAACAATCAACACAAAGTATCCAGCCAGTAAAATGCGTTCAATCAATAATCACATCGAAAGACAAAAACAATATTTAACTGGAACTACGAATATAAAAGAGGAGATCTCCTAATGGTTCAGTTACTTAAAATATCAAAATAAATCTAAAATTGTAATAAATAAAATAAAATAAAATAAATAAAAAACTAATAAACCAGCACAAAAGTGCACAAGACATCTATTGAAAGTTCTGGTGAGAGTAAAATGTAGCCAAAAAATTAAAAATAGCACAGAAAAAATACGTAATGATGCACCAATCCCTAATAACCGTAAAAAACCATTTTTAGATAAAGAGAATATTATGCTTTCACCCAAACTAAAAATTCACAGCTTATATGCCTATAGACTATAACGCACACGATCTATTTTTTCAAGGTTTTGCTAAATGGGAAAAAGGGCAGATCAACCCAAGTTTTTTTTAATATGAGCACCAAAAAACCAAACTTGAATGCAACCAAGCACAGGAGAAAAAGAAAAAGGTATTTAGGCAGGTTGATATGCATAGTCAAAGTTTGACAATCCAAACAGCAGTTGACATCCAACCTGACAACCAATAATGAATTTAGATGCTCTCAAGTCCATCTAATCAATATATAGCATGCACCACCAATTTCATATTTCATTACACGATGTAAGTGCCTTTGATGTGCTGCTTAACAGTTGTATCTTGATGCATCATTATATGCAATGTCAATTCCAATATACTGAAAGCATGGCAGAAAAAATTGCAATGATGTAAACGTCGCTTGCTTTAAGAAATAAAACAAGAAAAGAAAATTGATCCTAACAATTTAAGAGGTAGGGAAGACAACAAAAGGGGGAATAAAATAATGAAGATTGAAAGCTGCTTCCATATTGGGTCCTTGAAGTTCTCCATTCTTAGCAACCCTTTTTGTTGGGTCCTAGGAAGAACTTGTAAATCCTTGTATGAGCTTGTAGAGTTTTTGGATTTGTTGAGGATTTAGATTCCCTATTTGGCCTTGTGTTGTTTTTCAGAGATGCATTCCCCTTTTGAACGCTTTTAATGAATCTTAATTATCAAAAATAAAAAATAAGAAAATCAAGGTTAATATTTTAACAACTGATGAAATGAAAATTTTAGTCTGTTAGAACCTTTAAGAAAGAGAGCACATAAGAATGGTAGACCATTACTGAAGAAATATTCCCTTTGTACACCGAAATGACTAGAAAAATCTAGCATACATCCATTCACACCAACATGCATGCACACCTAATAATATCACAAACCTTGAAAAAGAAAGACATTTTAGAGAGTGTACCTGCTTGTCGTCATGTTCTGTTAATGTCAAAATTGACTCCCGAAAACTGCACAGAAACATATCTCTCAGTAATAAATAATGAAATCGCAAAAGTAATAAGAACTGCACATTTTGAATGGATAAGTAAATAAAATTTAAAAGAAGAAAATTGTTTCCATACTGAACCGCTGGCACCAATAGCCACAACAAAGTGAACAAACTTAGCATTGTTTCAATTTTCTTAACAATCCGGATTATATCATTGAGGAATATACATATATATAATTGGAAGTTCCATTCCGGACAAGACAATAAAAAATAAAATACTGAAAAAAGGATACAAAAACTGAAACTGTGACAGGAAAAAGAAAGGACTGTAGTGCATATAATGCTCCTTTCTAACTAGAATAACAAGAACAACACATTCTCTAGAGATACTTGTTTTAAATAATAGTACATTTACGTTAAGCAAAAATCACCTATTAGACGGTTTACACGCTCAAGCAATTGCAAGATTCAAACTGATAAAACAGAAAACGAGCATATCTAGCTGATAGAGACAGAGAGAGCATATCTAGCTGGCACAAAAATTAAAATTTAAGATGGACTAACTATGACCTCTAACTGTCAGCCCAGTTAAATAATAATTTTAAAATTTCAAAAATGCTTTATGTTAAGGGAAATGTAAATTTAACCTTGTTAATCAGTGAAATGACCTTTTAAAACATTACTTTCTGGACCAAAAAAACCCTTAATATTTTAACACTTCAATTATAAAAAATAAAAAAATTAATACTTAATATATTTGAAACAGAAATTAATATATAAAAACAAGCTTTACTGTTAAATTTTATAATTACATAATCCAAATTTAAGTGAAAAATTTGCAAAATTAAATAAAAAAAACCCTCCACCGGCCAGTTATTTTGTAATTAGATAAGAAAAACTTACCAATTTAACACTCTGCAAAATTATAATATTTTATAATTACATAATCTTATTAAAATTACATTGTCTCTGCAAGGTAATTATAATTACCATGCAAATTTGCTTTAAGTGAAAAATTTACAAAATTAAAAAACAAACCTTCCAACTGCTGGTATTTTTTTTTTTTTTTTCCCTAGTTGGACTCGTACACACGTCTCTTCTGAGACTTGAACCCCTGACCTCCCTTTGGGAAGTAAGAGGCCGATACCGCTAGGCCACTGGCCCGTTGGTAACTGCTGGTAATTTTGTAATTAGATAAGAAACCCTTGATATTTTAACACTTCGCAATATTATAAAATTTTATTTACATAATCTTAGTAAAATTGCATAATGTTTGCAAGGTAATTTTATAATTACCTTGCAAATTCATTTTCTAAATGCAAAACTAATATATATATATATATATATATATATATATATATATATATATAAAATTGAAACATATACATATAAAAAATAAACAAATATATAAGAATTTTTACATATATTTATAAATATATTAAAAAATTCAGCATAAATTATACATATATTCGTAAATTATATAGCATATACATCATAATATACATATAAGTAACAAATTCCCACCAGTTGCCATCACCTCCACTACCACAACAACTGCTACCTCTTTTCACCTCCACCACCCCCACCTCCTTCCTCAGACAAATCGTTCGACAACAACTCAAATAAGAGTTTCCATCCAATTCAAGCCCTAATTCATTCGATGGCACTGCAGGTCAGTGGAGGTATAGATGTCTGATCAAGACCCATCCCACCACCACGTTTGTTCCCATTCCCTCTCTATCTCCACTCCTTCCTTCTTCAAATCCCAATTGCAACTCCATCATTCAATCTTCACTGCAGCCCACCGCCACCTTTTCCATTATTTCCTCCTTCAAACCCTAACAGAAACTCCATTGTTCCACCACCATAACCACAAATCAGATTTAGCCTTATTATTTACTCAAGTTGTTATCCAGTTGGTTAGGTTCACATCAATGCTACCACAAACTAGTGTTAACATAAATTAATATATTTTTACAAGTATAGGTACATACATATACATAAACATGTCAGCTGGAATTCAAGTCGATTGACAAACCTTTATTGGAGATAGGTGATGATGATATCATGATAGCATAGAGATGGCGAAGCGTCGAAAGAGAGAGAGCGGTGGAGTGGAAAAGGGCAGTGGTCGTGAAGAGAAGGGACTGTTTGGAGGGCAGGGAGAGAAAGAGGGAGAGGTGGGGTGTGGTGGTGGTGGCGGCAGAGAAGGGGAGCAGTGGTGAGGTGCAATGGGGAGAGAGTATGTCAGGGACAATGAATCAGGAGCACACCGGTCATTTTCAAGTGTTGGATGCTTACATAAGCATGAAGTATTATTTTGACATATCATCAAGGGTATTTTGGTAATTGCACAATGGACGTTAGTCTTTCTAAACTCTAACAGGGAAGGTCGGCGTATTATTTTACATTTTTGTTTGCTCTATAATTTCTCATGTCATCTAAGTCTTTTGATGTTTCAGCTCTTGCTCATATGTCAACCAGGCAATCAGTTTTTTAGGTCATCTAGTTAAGAATAATCTTGCATAAAAGCATACAAATCAATGTAATGTGCGATTAAAAATTACAAAGAACCGAAGTTGTTATCCACATATGCAGGATGCTAATAGCCACACGGTCATTGCAGATTCAATCCAGTAAAGGTTATTTTCACTAAACAAATATATGAAAATTATCAATTAGACATGCCAACTTGTGGAATGAAAAATAAGAATAAAAAGTAATTTAATAATACAAAAGGCTTATAATTTTTTCTGACCTCTCTACTCCAGGACGAGGAGGACCTCCATTGATATGTTCTAAAGTAAGTACCTCCTTCCCATCAAGATGCTCCAGAACCTGCAAGAATATCACACGAGTGGCATATTGTACTTCTTCTGATCCATAATGTTTGCATATGGTAGACATTCTATATCATTCATTATGATTCCAATTACATATATGCAAATCATAACCATATTTACCAACCTTGTGGAGTGATGGGGCTCTTTTGGTTATTGGAAGCTGATATATTGGTATCTTTCATTCTTTCTCTTCCCATTTATATTAGACTTTTATTTTTGTGGGAGGATCTCTCATCCATCTCCCCTACGTATTCCTTTCTTTTTAGAAGAAAGTAGGATACATCATGCATGACACACCAACACAGAGTGTATTGAGGGGGGAAACAGGTACAAACCAGAATCTAACATTTTCTCTTTTGAACACAGAGTGACTGATCTAAAGATTGGAATCCACGATCTCAGGCTTGTCCATCCAAGCTTTTACCAATGCACTAGGCAATGGCCCCTTCTTTCTCTCCAATAAAAATTTTCGTTTCTTATCATAAAGAAATGAAATATAGTCATTAGCAATAACAAACTAGCTGGTGCATTACTTGTGTTAGCTGAGATATGATAGCTCCAAATCATGGGATGTAACTAACCATATTAGCCGAAATATGATAGCCACGAATCATGGGAAGTAAATAACGGAGTTTGACTTTATTTACGCATATGTCTAGGCATAGAATCTGCAATGATTTTATTTAATTTTCTTTCTTGTAATATTAACATGTGCCCCTTTTATCCATATATACTAGAGCTGTGAATGAATAATACATCTCATTTAAGCCTTTCACATTTCTCCTCTTTTCTTTTATATTGTATTTCTTCTTGGTATTAGAGCCAACACCTTTCCTGTTGCCAAGATGAACACTATTCGCGTATTATTTTCCTTTGTTACGATTCAATCTTGGCCTCTATTTTAGTTAGATGTCAAGAATGCTTTTCTTAATGGTGACTTGCAGGAGGAGTATATGGTTCCCCCTCTAGGCTTTCACTCTTCTGCTCATTCCAGAATGGTCAGTCATCTTCGTCGCTCCCTGTATGACCTCAAGGAGTCTTCTCCTCGAGCTTAGTCGGATCGCTTTGGCATTGCCATGCTCCAGTTTGGTTTTCATGAGTGCAGTTGATCATACCTTGTTCTTACGTCATTCAGGCGGTAAGACAGTTGCTCTCATTGTGTACGTCGATGATATTGTTCTTACTGAAAATGACATTGCCGGAATTGCTGAGGTTAAGAGCTATCTTGGTCATTAATTTGAGATTGATCTTGGTCCCTTTCGGTACTTCTTGGGCATTAAGGTGGCTCGCTTGCATTTTCATCTCTCAGCGCAAGTATGTTATCTTGACTTGCTTTCTACTTCTGGTCAACTTGGTGCTCATCCCGCTGATACTCCGATTGAGCAGAATCTTTGGTTGACTAATTCTGAGGGGGATGTTAGTATTGGATGCTAGTCAGTATCAGGTACTTGTTGGGAAGCTCATTTATTTATCGATGACTCGACCTGACATTGCTTATGCCGTGAGTGTTGTGAGTCAATTCATGCACTCTCCTCGCACCCCCTCACCTTGATGCAATAGATTCTACAATATCTGAAGGGGTGTCCGGGTCGTGGTATTTTGTTTGCTAATCATGGTCACTTGCGGGTTAAGGATTAGACAGATGTTGATTATGTAAGATCAATTTCAGATAGGAGGTCAACTTCGGGCTATTGTATTACTGTTGGTGGCAACTTCGTTACTTGGCGTAGAAAAAACCAAGATGTTCTCTCTCTATCTAGTGCATAGGGCTATGGCTCTTGGAGTGTGTGAGTTGTTATGGATAAGAACATTGATGACAGACTTGTGCCTTCTAGGGTCGCTTCCTTTTTCACTTTACTGTGACAACAAGTCTGTCATTAGCATTGCAGTAAATCCTGTTCAACATGTCAAAACTAAGCATATAGAGTTTGACTGTCACTTTATTCGAGAAAAGATCATCTCTAGTCAAATTTGCACTATGTTTGTCACTAACTCTCAACAGCTTGCACACATTCTTATAAAGGGCATAAGCAAGGTCGTCGTCTTTGGGGATGCATTTTCTAAGTTGGGCGACCCAGATATCCACGCACCAACTTGCGGGGGAGTGTTAGCCGAGATATAATAGCCACAAATCATGGGATGTGACTTACCATATTTTATTTTATTTAATAAGTAAATATATTAAAGAGCGTTCAAAGGGGGAACACATCTCGAGAGATATAGAAGGGCCGAAGCCAAGGACGAGGTCCTAAGGACCCAAAGAAACAAAAAATCAATGATTTCCTCTATAGATATATAATATCTCCGAATCACCTACCTAAAAAGAACTAATAATAACATATTTCAAGGCCCAATGGAAGATTCCTCCCCTTCAAAAGATCTTCTATTCCGCTCTTTCCAAATGCACCACCAAACGCAAAGAGGGGTCGCCCTCCAAAGTTCACGGGTGTGGTACCCAACACTGCATCCTCTCCACGCATCAAACAACTCCCTCGTAGACTGAGGCATAACCCACTGGACGCCAAACAAACCAAAAATAAGGCTCCAACAATCGTGAGACACGGGGAAGTGCAAGAAAAAGTGATTGACGGACTCTCCATCCTTTTTACACAAACAACACCAATTGACTGTAATTTGTCGTCTCTTTCTTAGATTGTCCATGGTCAAAATCTTGCCCCAAGACATGATAGCCACGCATTATGCGATGTGACTTACCATATTAGCTGAGATATACGATAACCTTAAATCACAGTTTAACTATAGTTACAAATATGTCTAGGCATAGAATCTGCAATGATTTTATTTAATTTCCTTACCTATAATATTAACATCTGCTCCTTTTATTTATAAATACTAGAGCTGTGAATGAGTAATTCATCTCATTCAAGCCTTTCCACATTTCTCTTCTCTTTCTTTTTCTTTTATATTGTTCTTCTACATGGACTCCTCAAAAAGCATGGAAACCCATGTAGAATGCACGACTGTGAGATGGATATGGGATATTTGTCTGACACGTCTAGTTGGACATACACCTAAGTATCATATCTACAAATTCAAGTCCAATATATAATTATACATACAACTCCCTTATTGTTTCACTTCTGCTTCAAATTGAGTGAAGTGCTTAACAACTGAACACTCTATGTTGGACACTCTATTCTACATATATCATTATTTTATTATAGAAAGAAAAGCGAAATATTAATTAATAAGAATAGTTCACGCCCCTTTGTCCTTAGGTAGATTTCATAAATCTATTTTTTTGACGCACAACTATTGCCGACACACGTACCCGAGCCCATGTAACATAGCCAATCGATGGGCTCGAGCAATCTCATGCAAGAAATCGGTAGAATTCATTCCCAACCAACCCTACAAGTAAATTTCAAACATGAAATATACTTTATCATATGGGTTGGGTTTGAGAATATCATTTTCCAACACAATAGGACTTGCAGTCAGTATGCTCTGAACCCCCCAAGCCATTCCTTCGCTAACCTTACAGCCATTGATAAAACCCTATAGAATTTGTCACACCAAACAATGGAATTATCTCAAATTGACTTTTTTTTTTTTTTTTTTCCAGCTATTCTAAACATAGAAAACATGAAGTTGGTAGAAAAATGTGAGGTCCTAATAGACATACCCTGAGAAGTTTACGCAGAATTGGAATTTTTTTGAAGTCCCGTCTATAACGCTTCATTATGTTGTGCAACATCTGCGAACCTACAAAGGGATAAAGAAACCACAGTTTTCATGATATGGACACTAAAGTAAAATACAATTATTGAGGAAAGCTTGGGACATTACCATTTTTACTAATTATATCAAACAAAACTGTTTTAGATTTAGTTTTCAGGAGGGCATCAAGGATCATCGAAAGATCTCGATTGCTGCGAAACAAAAGAAGAAAAATGTGAAAAGATCATTAAAATGAACAGGGGATACAAAAATTCATAGCTGAACTCAAGCCTTTCCAACCCTACCCACGCAACCAAAAGAAGGAAGGAGAAAAAAAGGTCATTACTTAGAACGGTCCACATTAGTTGGGAACGCTGGGAAGGGTGAACTAGATACAGACCTAAACTTTTTCTTATCATTTGCACAAAGTGACTGCCCTCAAACTCAAATGCCATTTCCATGCATGGCACCTTGAACTTTTAATAATGCACCGAACAATGACCCCTTAAATCACTAGATAAGACTGGAAAATGAAAAGCAAGAAGTAAAATCACCTCTGGATTGCTTCCCCATTGCCACTACCACCTGAAGTTGCAGTTAGAAGAAGCAGCTTCAAGTAGCCTTTGGTGGCATCCTGTTCAAAAACCAGATGTATTTGAAAATATGTAAACGATATGACAAGATGCATATCAAACAGCAACAAGAGAACAAATATTACCATACAAGTAATAGTTGCAGAAAAACTAAAGATATAAAGCTAAGGGAAACACAACTGCTTTGTAAAACAAACGGAGGAACCAAGGAGAATGGATGGTAAAACTAGATGAATAACAAGACTGTCAAACAACGAGTTTTTTATCAGATTTTTTCCAGATATGCCACCATGAAAATGAATTGGCATAAATGCTCCAAATACTTAATATGAAGAAACGAGAAAAAATTAATTACAACGAAGCATGATATAATGAAATGAATGAGCAATATATATATATACACATATATATTCACATTTTTAACCGATCACCAAAATAAGCACATGCAAACACTGAATAACATCAGGTGAAAAAACATTTAAGTTCTCAAATTCCCAAAACTTATAAACACCACATCATAGGAAAAAGATTAAGGAATCAAGACAAATGGGCAGAAATTGCTTACTTTGCGCTTGCTGATTCCCCCAGCAGCATCTAGCAACTCATTAAGTGTCTCCTCAACTGGATGCAATGGAAGGCAAAAATTATTATAGTACCACTACACTAATACCCTCAGTGAAAAGAAAAAATAAAATCACCTACCAGCTTCGAAACGGCCACTCAAAGAACCTTCAAATAGCTTTTTGGGCTTGTAGGACAGCACAAGAGACTTGTTGGTCACCACCTGAGGTTTGTTGACATTCACAGAACTGTAATTGGATTGTCCCTTTTTAACTGAAGATGAGGACGAACTCTTCACGCGAGGACGTGATTTTGAATAAGCGCGCCTGTCTTCAACTGTGCTAGGTTTGGACTTCCTCTTACTATCAATCATATCAGACGACAATTTCCTAGTCGCAGTTATCAAAGAAGTCTCTAATCGTTGAACAGACGAGGATTCGTTTATAGTTTCATTCACTACAGAAAGATCTTGCTGTACAGAAGACGTGGTTTTGCTCGTTAAATCATCTGGTTGTAGAGAAGCTTCTACTGGTTGAACAGAAGATGGTAATTTTCCCACTGATTCCTCTTCCAAATGCAATTGTGAAGCAGCAGATTTAAATTTGTTCATGGAATGATCATGTTCTGCTGTGATGTCTAAATGTCCAACAGCAGTTATGGACTTGTGGATTTCATCTTTATCTTTTACTAAGATCTCTGCAGTTTGAGTCTTGGGAGTAGTCTCCAACTGTCCAACAGCAATTGCTGGTTTGTCCATTCCATCTTTGCTTTTTAGTAGATTCTCTGCAATTCGAGTTTCTGCACCATGATAGGAACTGGATGCAGACACTATATTGTCAAAGGTGTCATCATTTTTACCATCTTCATTAACCATTACAGGTTCCGGATATTCTTCATCTGAATCACCTTGAACAATTACTTCGGTATTTAGAGGATCACCACCTATATAGCCGCGACACTGAGGTGAACCACAAACACATTTTTTGGCAGCAGCCCCAAACACCCGTACATAATTGTAATCAAATGTCACCTCTTCACCCTGACATGACATAGCTTCCAAGCATAAGAACACAAAATATGATGATAGCACTAAACCCCCAAAGGAGATGGAAATAAAAACGAACAAAGGTAAGTGAACAAATGCATAGCCACAGGAAAATTCTTTAAAATCCAATGGAATCCAGCAAGGCACCAAATGTGTTCTTAAGTCCCAACTCTCAACATTCTGTATGTAAAGTTAATAAAGACAAAAAATGAAAAATAATAAAGAAATAAATAACTGTATAAAGAAGTGGCAGCTAAGCTGAACAAAATCAACTATTGTTCTGAATTCGTTCATCCATATGAAACAAGCAAAAGTTAACGACCTTTTTCAGGCGTTATTTCTTAACAGACGCAGGTGCACACGCATATTAGAAACACTTCTAATAGATTCCGCTATGACGCTTGATCTAACAGTTAAGGAGGTAAGTGTTGCAAGGAACCTTTTGAACCCACCAGGCATAGTTGGAAGTAGTTTGTTTTAAATGGAAGAATTATATGCTTCAGATATTTTTTGGGTTAAGCTAGTGCTGATTGGGCATTTGGGGGATGGATCTACAACTGGGATCATAAACTGTGCAGAACACAGTCCAACTGAAAGTGTAAGAAATAGCAAAGAGAAAGAAAACGAATGGTTCATTCCATACAAGTTCATAAATGCTACTGATTGTTCTTTGTAAATAGTCCCCAGCATGCATGGGTCTGCAAAGCAGAAACGTGTGTTATCTATGTAAGTGGTTTCACTGAAGAATAACCTAATCTCATAATGCTACTGGAAGGTGAAAATTACAAGGATGCAAAATTTTCTCTTCACTTGCACATATTTAGGATTAGGAGTAGTTGAAGTTACACTTATCAAGCACTTCACTCAGTCTTGAAAACCAAAATGTCCCCACCACAACTTGAGTTTACACAATCCTATTATACAAGTCATATTATTTTAAGTGCTTAATGACTTGCGATTCTCAAATTGCATTTATTCCTTTCAAGCATACTATGATAGAAAATTCATATCTTCACAGCACTCTTTGACCCTAATACTTTAAAGGGGGGGAAATGAAGATTTAACTGAACTTTGAACATAGTAGTAGAATGTGCAAGCACGGGCTTTATTCGTGGAAGAAGCACTACCATCACGAAGGACATCAATAACATGGTAAGAAATTTGCTGATTAATCATTATGATATATGCCCTTTCGGGTATACAGTGGAAAACTAGACATCTGATAACCCAAAAAGAGAAAAGTACAATACCAGAAAAGGACAAGTCGGGAGTTGCAAACATGCGTCCGCTGAGTGGAAAGGGCAACAAATCATTACCTCAAGTAAAGGAAGAAAGAACAGACTCTTGTCTACAACAAACAGAGCAATCTATGGCATGTGGCTTCCGATATGCCAACAATCAAGAAGCAGAGATAAATATGAAGAAAAAAAATTTGTTGTATAAGACACCTTACTATGTCAGGTTTCAAAGGGAGCCTCATGCACCAGTGTTGTTCGTGTTAAGAAAAAGCACATCTAAGGATTTCAACAATATCATAAGGAGAATTAAATTTGCAGAGGTCAACAGTGACACAGTATGTTTATTAAATGAAGTTTAGCACAACTAACTGCCCATGATTTTAGCATCTCAAAACTTGTATGACCTAGAAGTATATAGGATTTAAAAAAAAAAAAAAACAATAACTAATTAGTACCTATACAACATGATAGATAGTCGTATAATGAAGGAGAAATTGGAGATGAGGAAGGTCTCCAACTGGGATTCAGTGGTAGAGAGATTGAGAGGACGTTGGCTGGGAGGAAGAAGCAATACCTTTCGAAAGGTGGGCGGGTTACTCTTATCAAGAGTACTCTTTCAAACCTCCCCATCAACTATCTTCCGCTTTTTCATATCTTGGCCTCTGTTGTGGTGAGACCTGAGAAGCTACAGCGGAATTTCCTGAGGGGTGGTAATGTAATCAGATATCACCTTGTAAACTAAGGTTTGTAGGACTATTCAGCAGGGGGGTTTTGGAAGTTAGAAGATTGGCGGTGTTCAATAATTCCTTATTGGGGAAATAGATGTGGAGATTCAGGGTGCACAGAATAACCAATCACATGCAAAATACAAATATATATATATATAATATATTACATATATATATCGAGTTCAATGCTCAGATTCATCGGGTTTGTAATTTGGGACGGGCTCAATTTAGGCTTTGGGTTTTCCAACACAATAACCTGAGCCCAGCCCAAAATAAAATTGGATTCTTACTTTTTCAACCCAAGCCGAAAATTTTTGGGCTGGGCTAATGTTGGTCCGGGTTGGGCCCGCCCGAGTTGCAGCCCAAAATGCTGGGCAACAAAACAGCATGACGTGCATAAGGTGAGCAGTGAAAATGCGAATGTTGAGACGGATGGGACAATAATATTGGAAAAAACACTTATCAAAAAATAATAATAATATTGGAATAAACCAACCCCGCAGTGAAAGAACCCATCCACTCCATTTCTTTGCCACAAAGATAGAAAAAACATCCATCCAATTTTAAGGTTGGAGGATGTCATAGGGATAAAATATCTCCAAAATTTCTATTTTCTAATATTGAACCTAATTGTTGTTGCCTTTCATAAATATTTCACTTTTAGCTAATATTTTTTTTTCTTTCTTTTGCTTCTCAAATACATCTTTTTCGTTATCTTTCCTAATTAATTAGATTAATCAATTTCCTATTATTAGCATAAAAAACAAAAAATCTTGTATGAACATTAGAAACTACAATGATTAAGAGAAAAAATTTGAGGAACTCTAAATTAATGAAAGCGGATATGAAAAAATAGTCAATTCAATAAAATAAAATAACAAAGAAAAAAGACAAATGTAAGCAACATCATAAGAATGTAGATGCAAAACCTACCCGGAACAAATGATTTAAAAGTAATACCAATGTATATGGGTAATATCAATATACTTATGTGTTTGTCATGTGTATTTAGAGGATATGGGTTTGGTGCAAAATGGTGACAAAATGGTCAAGTAAACTGCTGAAAGGCTATAACGTCATTCGTTCTAGAACCTAGGTTGCCAGAATGAAAATTTGCAAGTATGACTCAACGTCTTTGATAGTATGCAAAACAAAATCAGAATGACTGTCAGTTGCTAAATTCTCATGTTAAGAAATGATTCATTCTTTTGTCTGATTTAAAATATGACTCCAAAATTGCTCCACTTCAAAGGTCAGAAGGGTAATAAATAACAAGGAATTACTTATGTTAGTACATGTAATACTAAAGGAAGAGGAAGACAAAGTTAATGTAGGTAGAGTAAGTAAAGGAAGATATGATACCGCATGGACTGACTAAGGCTATAGCTTTAATTGAGCAGAATGGAAACATAGGATTCATGTAGCCGACATCAAGTAATTGGGAAAAGGCTTGGTTGTTGTTGTTGTTGATGTCAGTACATATATCAATTCAACTACATATAATCATTGGACATCTTGTTTTTCTTGTACATTTGGAGAGAAGGAAAGAGGGAGGGATTTGGTGGCTGCATTTTCCTTTGAAACATGAACTCTAGATTAAAGGGCAAACAAACTGTTATCAACAATTAGTTCAGACTTCTATATACCAAAAGCAAATCCTAGACTATCAAAAATCACAGTCAATGCAAGTGAAGAGCACTCCTAACATGTAGTAAAGCTCCAGCAGTACAACAACTTAGGATTACACACACCAACCATGCATTTAAGTTACATAAGCATGTGGAAATATACCTTCTTAATATCCCTCAAAGCAAAGAGTCCAATGCAAACTTCTCCATTCACCATCCACTGTTTCAGCAAATTCAAAAGTAAAGTTAATAGTTTTACATGTATATATGAGTGTAAAAATGAGTTTCGCAGAAGTTCCAACTCGAGCAACAAGTACATCAATTTCAATAATTGAAATTCAATGAAACGAATCCAGCAAGATTATAATAGCAACAAGTTCAAGATGAAATGTCCAAAAAAAGTATAGGCGTCAGATTTATTTATCTATAGAGAGAAAATGAACTACTATCTTTTCCACATGGAAAATCAATCCACCGAGACCAAATAGAATCATTGTTTCCTTGAGATAAAAATAATTAAAAGAGAAAAAATTGACACCAAAGCCATTGTGGCTTTTAGTAGTAACATTCCTGGCAGGTAAAAGAAAGGAGTGAGTGTTATGGTTTTGATTCTTTTCACCGTAAATTTAAAAAAGAAAAAACAAGATGATGAAGCAGCATAAGACATAACTTGCAATGCTATTAAAACAAAAAGTGAATTTTTTTTTTTTTTTTCTTAGTTGGTACTCACACACACATACCTCCACTGAGGCTCGAACCCTTGACCTCTCTTTGAGAAGTAGGGACCTGGTACCGCTAGGCCATTGGCCTGTTGGTAAAAAAAGTGAATTGTTGCATCCAATCATCACTTTCTATCTTTCTAAATCGTATACAGCCCCAAAGGTGTAGGGTTACAATTTGATTCTTTTACTGTTGATTTTTTTTTAAAAAAAAAAAAAAAAAAAAAAACAGAGACAAATAGAAGACAACATAAAGTTCTACGTAAACAAAATGCAACCATTTTTCAATCTTTCTAGATTATATATAGCCCCATAAGGAAACATCTACATATTTAGTTCGATACCAACTTAGACAACTAAAAAAACTAAAATAATGGAATTAAATAGTATCTTACTGTTAATAAATCAGAAAACAATGCAGCTTTTGAACACTGAGTTTTCAGACTTCATGGAATTGAGTCTTTTAATATATTCCTGATCTAATTTGGGGAAATAAATATGCCCTTAATAAAGGACCAATTATGGAAAGTGGAATCTCACTACAAATGAAGTTAACAAATGGAAAGAAAGCCATTACATTGTTTGATATCATTCTGTTTATGCATTTTGTTGTTTGTTATATTTTTGAAATAAAAAAGGAATCAATACATTCCAAAATGTCCATGTCTCATTTATGCATTTTGTTGTTTGTAATATTTTTTATTTTAAATGAAAAAGGAATCAATAAATTCCAAAATGTCCACGTCTCATTTAAAGCGTAGACACTGATAATTAAATGCCACCTGTAGCAAACTCTCTCTAATTCTTCATAAAAAGAAACAGACCGTAACAATACCATTCTCTGTAGTGCCCATCACATTTCCATACACCGATAAATCAGTATGTAACTGACTCGATAAAATCCAAGGCCATTGTGTAATGTTGTTATGTAATGTCGGTAATTTATACTAGTTAGTATGTTATCATTTTATCAGCGTTCAAACCTTATCTCTATAATTATAATAATTACAATTAATGAATTGTTTTATGCATTGAATCTTGAAGCGAGATAGAAAATGATGCAACAGAAATATGTCAAAACAGAACAATAACAATAATGATGTTCAAAATTCCCAGAACTTCCCGTTAACTCCTTGTTAATATTATTGGCATCAACCTACTTTCAACATTAATGTTATTTGAAAAGTTCTCAAAAAAAAAAAAGGGATATCTAATAAATGTGTCTCAAAATAAAATATGATAGCAGATGTGCTACTACAATTCTGCATGCATCAAGGTGCACACACATGTGCTAGAGCAAATTACACGTAAAAAGTAGCCCAATCTGAAGATTAGAGGATGGCAAAAAATTTTGGGTCCAAGTATGGCTCACACAAAAAAAAAAAAGGCACTATATAAACTTATATTCAAGATATTAGGCCTGAATATCAAATATGAACTCTATTTGAACTTATTTAAGGCTCCCTTACCCAATTATTTTTAAAAAACCAGTGACTAGTGTGGACAAAATTGCATCAGGTCACAAAATATTTAGTGACCACTGATTACCATAAACTTCCCTGGACCGAACCCAATCTTCCTCATTTCAACCAAACAGCTGCTGCAGCTATGGGGAAAAAAAGAACTCCCCTGCAGCCGGGCTCATAGTTGTTAAAGACTCAAGGCGCACTATGGCACCAAAGGTCTTTTGGAACCTAAGTGCAAAATGCAATGTAAGGCAAGAGCCTGATTGAAGTTAAGGCACGTTTGTGATAATAATGGATATTAAGTACATAAAAAATAATTAAACCATGCAACACAAGTCAAAGACCAAAATAAGAAAATTTTCAACATATCAATTCAATGGATTAGCTAAAAGCCAAAACACACATATCTTTTCTATTTACATATGAATTTAACAAAATAAATATACAATTGGAAAAATTCAAGAAATGCAAGCGCAAATAATAAAAAAATTCTAAAAAGGGTATTTTTGATATATCAACTAAGAGGTTTATGTAATGTTCATAAATCCGTTCATATGCATATGCATTAACCAAATTAAATGTGATTATAAATCAAAAACAATTAAAAATTGGGGAAAGCTAACCTCCCAACTTTCATGGGGAGAATTAGCTTGTCCCCATTTTTAAGAGACCAATATGTCCTTAATACATAGTTATAACCATCTTACTGGAAGGTTATTTTAGTCAATATATAATTTTAGACCATGTCTCTTTTATGTGAAACAACCACTGCCACCAAAAAAAAAACCCAGACCGACGCCCCCCCCCCCCCCCCCCCCCCAACCACCACTCCCATCCCTGCAACCACCACCACCATGTCTATTCCGGCGTGATCCACCATTACTGATACCACCACCACCACTGTCTATTCCGGCATGATCCACCATCAACACCATCACCATCCCCACCCCCACAACTGTGTATTCTAGTGAATTAACCCCATAGCCATGGGGGTTGCCGGAAATCTAGCCTCAAGCACCACAATCTGTCTGTGGCCACCACCATCCTCACCCCCACAACCACCATCACCATTCCCACCCCTACTACCACCACCGCCACTATGTATTCCAGCGAAACAACGTCGACATTGGTCCCGGCATGGTGGAGGCGTTGAGGTTAGGGAACGACGGTGGTGGCGTGGTTCACAAGCATAGATACTGTGGGTTCCAAGGATTCTAGCACAGAGAGAGAGAGAGAGAGAGAGAGAGAGACATTTTCGATTGAGAGGATTTGGCAGATCAATAGTGTAGCTTCCATGGATTTCGGTATTGGCATAGAGTGACCGATTGACAGAGTCGACAGTTACATTAGAGAGGATTAGGGTGTAGATTCATTCTGAAATCACATTACACTAATACCCTTGGTGTTGATGTTTTTAAAAATTCTAATAACTGGTATTTTTGGCCAAAAAATGTGGGGAGAAGCTTATCCTCCCCATGAAGGTGGAGAGGTTAGCTTTCCCCTTAAAAATTACAATAGTGCAAACTTTAAACATATATTTTCATGAATATTTAGAATCAAGCACAAAATAATTTTTTTCTTCGAAGATGTTAACTATCGTATAGTTTATAAATACAAATAACATAGTGCGGTATATGTAAATGAACAAGACAAGAATTAAACAGGTCTAGTCTAGCCTAGGAGACAACCAACCAAGGAGATCACCTGCTACTTCATAGAAACTGGGGTAGGAAGTGTCCTGCCTATACAACTAAGTGTGTATTAAAGTGACCGATGAGGCAATGACCAATGGCGTATTGGGATTTATTTAGCTATTATATTACAAATCCGCTAACTTTGTGGAACAGCTTAGCAAGTAATATTTCTAAAATATCAAGTTTCCGGTTAATCAGCAATCTTCTCACTAGTAACATATTTCTAATAAGGAGGATGATACAATAATTCAATTTTAGGGCTTTTCTATGAGGCCAACAACAGCATAAATTTGGATTGTTTTGCGTTTACTCTGGGCAATGTTCCCACAGGTCTTAGTAGTGTTCTTTTTTATTTTTTTAAAAGAACAGTCATTATTATCTTTCTGTAGCTACCATAACCTATCCTTCATTAAATGTCATCCAAAGGACGACTTTTTCTTTTCCCAAGTTTCATTTGGAAAGATTAGCTAACAAATCCTAAAATTTCAATCAGTGTTTTTCCTATATTGAACTAATCGATAGGAATATAGATGCCCAATTTACCAACACGAAACTGTATAGGATTGGAAGTTTCCTAATATTCATCTTATCTCATCTCTAGTAAATGCCTATGTCACGACCCACCCCGTTGTTTAGATATTATCCGCTTTGCACACTCTCTGTGCTCACGGTTTTCAAAACATCTCTATACAGATGGGAGGTTTCAACACATATAAGTGCCAACATCTCCTCCCCAGGCAATGTGGGACATCACAGCCTAGCCTTTGAAGATTTCTCCAAACCTAATAGGAGTTATATTCAAAAAATCAGTCAACTACTCAGAGCCTAATTTTTCTTCAGCTGTACTAATCACCAAACCTCTTCCTTTTTCACTCCACACACTTTGGACCCACTAACCAAAGATAAAGCCTCTCTGCAATATCATCAATCTGGTATATAAAATGGTAAAACAAGGCCATGCAAAAAGAATGAAAATGAAAAATCCTTCACTGAAAAATCCTTCATTGGACTTCAACAACACTATTCCAACTCATTTTGGAATATAACTTCAAGACAATCACATCTAACAATATAAAGCAAAAGCCATAGTGTATATTATGGTCTCTTTTTCCTACTGTAGAAACAAACTTTGCTTTCCAATTTTCAAGTTGTTTCTTTTTATTGCTCGAGTTGACGTAAAGTCATGTCACAGTTTGTCCATAAATAAATTGAATGCACGGGTTTTAATTAACATACATTCAACTGTCTAAATTCAGAGAAACAAACTTTCTGGCCTAATACCTTAAAGGAATTGCAAAAATAATATTTTCATTTGCTAAAAAAGGGCAAAGGAAAGGAGGGAAATCATAATCTTTTGATATTTAAACCACAAATATTTTTAAAATGTTTATAACCCAATTTCTCCATTCAAGTTACCCAAAAAAAAGGTGACTTCTCAAAACTCTTGATAGGACTTTCACATGCATCATAAAAAAAATACAAGAATAAGAAGTCACCATGCCCGAGCACTCCCATCAGAATTAAAAGTGCTCAAGGATTCTCATCAATAAACACAGAAAAGAAAGCAGTTTCACAAGATTGCATAGTCCAGTTAACCGGACCATTACTTATACCAATTTGGGTCATGAATCCATCAGGCATGATGAACAGATTGATGTGACATGTCATCAGTTTCCTTTGAAAACTTATAACAAATATCAAAAACTACTATTTTTCCTGTATAAAAACACTCTATTCCTTAAGGAAATATATTGACTGACAATGGGCCTAAATCTCTGACTAAAGAAAATGGATATATTCTTAAAACTCACAAAATATAAACTAATAGGGAACAAATGACTTGTAGCTTCCAAATTCTCCTTTTCCAAAATTAGCAGGCTCAACATAATTCTCTTGGTAGAATTCTTAAATTAGAAAATTTCTAACTATCTTAGAAACCATTCTTCCACAAGAAACATAATAATATAGCCTTAAATTACAAAAATTCCTAATTATATTTCTCTTTTCCTCTTCTCCAAAAGTAACATTGAAAAATGTGCAACACATGTATGCAAATCGCAGCCGTTCCCCAACACTTGAACTTCGACATAATTGTCCTTCCTAAAAGGGCACCAAGCCACAGTTTCAAAGTATCTCAAAAATACAGTATGGTGTCATATTCATGCCAGGATGCTTTGAAAGCAGGGTGATAAAAAAATTTTCTTTTTTTTTTTTTTTTGGTTAAGATTTCATAAAACGTGCTCAAAAGGGGAGTGCTCGCAGAAGAATACACAAAACACCAAAGGCGACAGCTAAAGCTTTAAGCTATCCACAAAATCTAAAAGATCCCCCAAAGATGTACAATAACACCCGTTAACCCAAAAAAATAAAGTATGCAATATACTATATTAGAGATAGCGAGATGATAAGCCAGCAAGAATAAAGCTAGACCTTTTGTTTGATTTTCTAAAAGACGCCTTACCTTATAACAAGTGATTACCTAATAAGGATGCTTTTGTAATACTTTAGCACTTACATAAAAAATCAGATACCCTATTATGCTAATAACTTCATATAAAAAATTTGAAAACGAACTTTCCATGAAAAGAGTAATGACTGCTTTTCCTTTAGTTGATAACTAACGGCGACAGTATTGTCTTTTTCAAATCCCTATAAGAGGTTCAATGTACAACTATACTATGTTCCAGAAAGAGAATGAAAGAAATTTGCAAACAATTGCAGATATGTTGAAGTCAAAAATCAATTCAACAATATACTACCATTTACCAGGCCAGAGAGCATCTTCTTTATCCAATTTCCTGGAATTAGGCAGAATAACATTTTTTTCTTTTGTTGACAGGTAAGCAATACGCTAACAGTGCTGTGGGGGGATAAACCAGATCCATGGCGCATTCATAGAGAAAAATGAAAGAAAATGAAAGGGAACTCATACAGATACTTTACTCTCGTCTCCCCTAAAAGAAACAAAAATTAATAAAAAAGAAGAGAAAATCATACGATAAGCAGATTTCTCAAATAAGTAGTACAGTGAACTTGACGGTCTTTGTTTTAGCTTAAAGATCATCTCCACCAACTAGCCGCTGAGCTGATGCTGTCTGTGATGATTATAATTGATGTTGTGGTAGCTTCTCATGTATTTTGACGCTTTTTTTTCGGTAAGCTATGCTGATGCTTTTACACCAAACAGTCTATGACATAATATATATATATATATATATATATATATATATATATATATATATATATATATATATTTAATCAAGCAATCATTTGAGAGTTTTGACATACATTACATGCAAGTCAGCCAACACATTCCCCATGAAATGCCTAACCGAAAAATAATAACAACATACATCCAAAAAAATGTGTTATTTAGTGATGTATTGTCAATGTGGCAACTTTTACACATTAGGTTTCATTTTGTAGCAGCCTTTCCAAAATTAGTACCACACTCAATGAGAGACAAGAGAAAGAAGAAGAAGAGAAGAAAAACACAGATAAAAGAAAGAAGTAACAAAAAAAGTGATTATTCAAAAAGTGATTATTCAAAAAGATAAAAGGCAATAAACCAATTAAAAAGGTTCTAATCTTGCTAGAATATCCACTCCATAGTTCATTAAATATTTACAAAGTAGATGAAAGAAGAAACACAAATAATTATAAGACTACATTTAAATAACCAAAGCTTACAAATATATTCACCTTTTCTGTACGGCAATTTGGATCGCAGCTATGGTTTATAAACCGCCCCAAATTTCCTTTAGCACATGCATCTATAACCTGAAGAAAGGGAAAATGTGGACGTTATATTAAAAATGAATTATGGTAGTAAAACCAAACAACAATAAAGTTATTTGTACAACTTTTAATCGATAGTTCAACGGAATAATAGAGCACATAACACTTCCCAGGCACGTACAGCAAGAAGGCATCACCGTAAAGTCAAATTGGAACAAGAAAACGTAATACTAAACACAAAAGACTTCCCAGTCATCGAAAGAAGATTCAGATTGCAATAAGAACAACTAATACTAAATAAGGCAATATAAGTAACTTAATGTACCACTATATGTACTATAAGGCAACAAGAAATGCATATATAAAAAAGGTAACATGTGAGTCTTTTCTTCTGTTAGGTCAATATGACATCATTGGCAAATTCTGTACCGAACAGAGTCTGTAATCTTTGATTTCAAGTTTGTTTATATATTTCAAAAGTAGTAAGTTGAGCTACCTCCATCAAAGGGAAATATGAAATTTCAAAAAAGGAGGGGGGGCATTCACCAAAATAGAGTTTCATATCCATGAGTTCTCAGCATTATACATGTTTAGGGTTCAAAACAAACATGTTTTGATCTTAAAAAGAAGTTTTGGATGCATAAAAGCTGCTTTGAATCGCCATAAAAGTTGCTTTGAATCGAAAAACCTACTTGTCAGAAGTGCAGGGAGTCCGACCTATAAAAGCATTGATCATCCCTCACTGGGCTCGGTTCAATCAATCAAACCCAAGTTGGAACAATCAAATATTGTGCAAAGGCAGTTTCCATGAAGGATTTAAACACCTAAACCCTAAACTTTTCAACTTCAAAAATCTATCAAGGCTCCTATATTTTCACCAACACATATTGACACAGGCAATTACATTAAGCGTATAGAGATATATCGAGTGCAACCTAGCAATCGATTGCTAGAATTTTTTATTTCATTCATTATTACATCTAGATGGTGAGTGTTCTTCTAGAGTATTAAGCAACTTCAATCCAAGTACTCCAAGGAGTTCAGTACAAATCAATCCACGCTCCCTACAAGGTTGGGTGATTAGAAGAGGAGACGGATGTGAAGAGAGAATTGTGTGACAAATGGGTTCATAGAATTTGAGCAGAGTTTGTGGAGGAACATTTGGCACGATTCTGGATATGAGGTAAGTGATTCTAGGACCTTTCTTCTATAGTTGATTTGATCTGCTTGAACTAGGTCTTGTTGTATTTCCCCAATGAAATTTTTGCATAAAATAGGTGTTCTTGTGTGGCATGATTTCTATATTTCAGCAGTATAATACTTTTTAGGTTTTTGGTTAGTTTAAGTTTAAATTTCTGTTTATTTATATTATTTAAATTTTAAGTTTTTGTTAAAGGTAAATAATTTAGTTTTTTGAGACCTATTCATCCCCCTCTACTCTAGTATGGGCTTTTGCGTTCTTTGAAATACCATAACCTAGAGTGCCAGTCCTTCTCTCAAAAGCACTATATTGCTAACAAAAATTATGAAGAGAAATTAATACCATTTCTATCATCTCCTGTATCTATCTTTTGATAAGTATCATCTACTATATATACGCCAATGAAAAAAGAACACTACTTTATTCAAATTTGCGACACATATAGCTAACGATCGAGTTAACTACAGAGAGAAATGGTTTAAAATCCGTAGTTTATACATGTTTAGGGTTCAAAACTTTATTCAAATCTGTAGTTTACTCAAATGGTTTGAGTACATTCACCAATTCAACAGCTGCATTCAAGGCATTCTTCCAGTGGTGGGCATTCGCCTATGCAAACACAGCAGCAGCAGTCCTCAAGGTGTTCAACGTCGTCAGGGGACGTTGTCATAACCACGAAATGGGAAACATTCGATGCCATCCCAGCTTCCACTTCGACCACCAATGAACCGGCACATCCCAAATTCAATTGGGATTTGCTGCTTTAAGTAGGTAAAACCAAGTATATGTTGTGATGCGTGGATGTGTGTTTTGGACTTGTCTCGAGTTGGTTCAGTGTCTATTCTCCATTCTTTTCTGTATTTAGATTTTGTTTGTAACCCCTTTCACCTTGTCATTCATCAGTTCAAACAAATAATGGGGTCACTACGATAGCAATTACTTAATATTACTTTGTAATTCTCATTTTTCTCTTGGTCATCCTCCTTAAATTCATCGCGATGTATGCTACTGGTATTGATAGTGAAGATGATTCCTTATACTTGAATTTTATAATTGAGAAATTAGAGTTGCATTTTGAAATCCAAGAATTCTTGACACGTGATTAATTCTACTTTTGGGCTGATTCTTATGAAATCAATAACACAGTAGACTCAGTAGTGGTTGATGATTAGTGATTAGTGATTATCTTTATACCTTGCTTCCTCTTAAGGATAAAAATGACAAGAAATGGAGGGCAATGTAAGTGTAACAGATTTATAATCCAATAACCAAGCCATCATATAATGGACTGACAAACTCTCTGTCCCAGTGTAATATTCAAATAAGAGGGGAGGTCCCTATAATTATGACAAACCTCAAGGGAGGTAGCTGTTTACCCAAAAAATAAGGGACAACCATGAAACCAGATGAAAGAACCTAACAATCTGAAGTCAAAGCTTTTTCTACTAAAACCAATTCTTACCACATCTCAAAATTACCAACACTTCCAGAAAAGTCTTTGAATTAACAATAACATATTTACATATCCAAAGCAACCGTTATCACACCTAACAAACATCTTTCCCAGAAAGACACAGTAACTTGTTTTAAGAGCATCATCTACATTTCCCAAAACTAATATACATGCGTGCATAGAGAGAGAAAGGATATATTCACTGAATTAGGGGGGAAATTAATGAAATGAAAACAACCAAATAGTGTCATAATATATTAAATTACAAGCTCATTGGACAATTATTAACAATATGTGACTATAATATGATTACTGTTCAAAAAACAATAAAGAAGCTCAAATTGCTAACCTCACTGCCATTCAACGTCATGAAGTAAAAATGTTTGTGACCCTTTGCAGCATACTCCCTTTGACGTGCCTCATAAGCATGCATATCAAGCACCTAAACCAGGACATATTGGCAATCAGAAATCAAGTTCACTAACGAAAAAACACACACTCAAAAGCACATTCACAGCCTGAAATTCATTGAAAGAGAAACATCATTAATAATTAAAAAAGCATCAAGATGTAATTTAGGTCCAGCTGGATTTGTGCAAACAACCGAAGCAAAGTTCGGGTGAGTATCAACTCATGCAGAGTATCCTTCTTACAGTGACATGACAATCTGGGGATAAATTCCTATCCCCTACAGATTTTCTTCCTTGTACGACGTTACTGAAACAGATTGTCCAATTTTAACCCATTAACAGAAGTAAGAACCTCCAACTTCATCTTTTTAAATTGTTCCAAAAGAATGAAAATTTGAAAACTACCTAAACATCCATCATTTAGTCTGACATAGTTATAAAAGATAAAAAGTTTCGAACCCATTAAAAAAATTGCTATATTTAAGATTAATATTTGGTGAAAGCATGATAAAATCATGAGCCTGAATACAGTAACCGGATCCCCAAAGACACTTATGTTTATATAAACTGAAATGTTTCAAAAGAATGTGCAAACTACCTCCCCAACATATTCAATAAGAAACTGTCCTCTAGAGATATCTTCTTGCAACTGCAACCCATAACCCTTCTTTCCACATCGAAACCACATCAATTTGGCATATTTTCGTGTCTGGAACTGCAAGGAAAAAGTTTAATACAAATTATGCTCCTTGCATACAAATAAAACCAATGAATATAACAAAGGGATCACTAATCCGGTAGAAGAGTATGAAGTACCTGTTGATTTGTACAAAGCCCCCCACATGGGCATGTCCCTTTAACACATTCGATGTTAAGCATCCGATTCAAGCATCCATCTCCACAACCCATTCGGCCATCTGAAGGTTGTTTGCAGTGGCAAACCATTATCTGGTAAGAATGAATTAAACACAAGCAGAAAATGAAAAAATTATTCACAAATTATTCAAGAAATATAGCTAGCCAAGATCTTAAATCACATGAGACAGAAAAATAAATAGAGAACGAGAGAGAGATAACAGTCGGACCTTTTCATACTACATATATATCTACATCTATAATATCTATCTATCTATATCTATCTAAATCTAGATTATATCTACATCTATACTATACTATACTACTATGAAAATGTCAAAAGGTTCTTTTTTTATATATACATTTTTAAAATATATAACTAATCACATATTTACATCCCTAATATTTCTATCGTCCTATAATTTATTTATTTAATATCTTTATCTCTCTTTTCAGATTCCCTCTTCAGTTGCGGAGAGGATTGAGAGGTTGCAGCGTAATTTTCTGTGGGGGGGTAGAGGTGAAGAGTGTAAGTTTCATTTGGTGCGTTGGGATCAGGTTTGCAAGCCAATTCGGAATGGTGGGTTGGGTCTCCGTAAATTGGTGCCTTTTAATAAGGCCCTCCTTGGGAAATGGTTGTGGAGGTTTGGTGTGGAGAGACATTGGCTTTGGAGGAGGGTTGTGGCTTGTCGTTTTGGGGAGATGAGAGGAGGATGGTGTTCATTGGAAGTTAAAGATCCTCGGGGGGTGGGGGTTTGGAAATTTATTCGGAAGGGTTGGGATGAATTTTCCAAGCACATTCGGTTTCGTCTTAGAGATGGGAGGAGGATTTGTTTTTGGGAGGATGTGTGGTGTGGTGATGTTCCTCTCGCTCTCGCCTTTCCTCAGCTTTACAGGATTGCTTCGGATAGGCAAGCCATGGTAGTTAACTGTTATCATCTTGATAATGGGAGACTGGTTTGGGATGTTCGATTCAAGCGTTTCTTTCAGGATTGGGAGATCAAGGAGGCCATTCGTTTCTGGGAGCTGTTGTATCGCCAGAGAATTGTGGAGGAGGATTCGGATTGTTGGTCTTGGGTTGCAAACTCCAAGGGGCGTTTTGAGGTGAGGTCTTTCTTCAGGTGCCTCTCATTTGATCATGGAGTCCGTTTTCCTTGGAAGTCTATTTGGAGTTCCAAAGCTCCTCTCAGGGTAGCTTTCTTTGTGTGGACTTCGGTTCTGGGTAGGATCTTAACCCAGGATAATTTGAGAAGGACAAGCCAGGTGGTGGTCAATCGTTGTTATTTGTGTCTTCGTGATGAGGAATCTGTGGATCACCTTCTCATTCATTGCTCTTTGGCTAGAGAGTGTTAGGATTTGATGCTTGGCTTATTTGGGTGTTCTTGGGTTATGCCAGGATCCGCTCGAGGGTTGATTGAGCCGTGGAGAGGTTGCCCTGTGGGGGCTCACAGTCAGGATGCGTGGAGGGCTACACCGCTTTGTGTGTGGTGGTGTATTTGGCTTGAAAAGAATAGTAGATACTTTGAAGGAAAGGCATTGTCAATTTCGGTCCTTAAATTCTCGATTCTTTCCACTCTTTTTGTTGGGTTTCAGGGAGAGATCATAGATCATTGGAGGAAATTGTTGACTTTTTGGCCTCCTTGAAGGCTTGAGACCTTTGGGGTCTTTTGTATTTTCTTGGGATCTGCTCCCCTTTTAAGTGTTTTTTAATAAATTTTTATTTCTAAAAAAAAAAATTGTATCTATTTATTGACCTATTATTTTTTGTTTTTTATATACATTTTTAGAAAATATCATCAATCACACATTTACATTCTGAATATTAATACTTCTATTGGCCTGTTATTTATTTATCTATTATTTGTATTTTCATAAACTTATTGTATATTTTATCTATTTATTGGCCTATTATTTATTTGTATTTTCACACTAATTAATGAAGGACTGTTCATATTACTAACCATCTAACCTCTTCGGCATCCAATAAGAAAACATTCTTGAAGCTATTGACACCAAGAGGCGGTCATTACACCCTTTGAGTTGCCCACTAATTCGATTGTTATACAACCCACAGTCTACAACTTCTTTTTCCATTTATACACACGGATCATTTTATACTCACATTAGAGACCGCAACTTGGAACAATGACAACCCATCGACTCAAAATTCAATTACCAGCAAGTAGATTCAACATCCATTATCCATGGATTCACTTTTCTTTCTTTATAGAATTTTATTATGTGTTTAATCCTCAAACTTTGGTTGCTATGTAAATGTTGCAAACGAAAGACACTACAAACCGGAAAAAAAAAAATGAATCTTGCGCTTTTGTTGTTTCTCATTCCTAATTAAAAGGTGCTAAAATGAACCAAACTTTTGAAAAATCTCATTTGAGAGAAGATTTTACATTTATTCAAGGCACCCAAAAGTCTACATTTACTTTACAAATGATATAAAGTCTTCTAAACTCAGGTTAATTATGTGAAAAAAGTTAATAAGCAGCAAAATGGTAGCTTGAATATAAATATATAAAAATATTCCATTTAATCTTTCCTACTGATTCAATTGGTAGAAGACTTCCACCATTGAACTTTTTCTTCAGGTATGCTACTTTTTTTTTTTTTTTCAAAGCCAAATTATCACAAAAAGAAGCCTCTATAACCTCAAAAATCCACAATTTCTCCCATAGATTTACAATTAAACCCATTAACCCAAAAGAATAAGGAACTAAGAATTGAGAATTTAATTGCTCAAATAGACGCCTCCTTCCCCTCAAAGGATCTCCTATACCTCACCCTCCACAAGCCCCACCACAAACATAGAGGACCAGCCATCAAAGCTTCTCGGGCTTCCCACCCCCAAACTAAGCATCCCCGCCAAGCCTCGGGCATGCTCGATTCTAGAACTTAATACTGATTTCTTTTTTCAATTGGTGATCTAGATATTTCTAATTATTAATATTGTTGACTGAAGGAACTTACCAAAAATATATATATATATTGTTGACTGAAGGAACTGTTTGGTAAAACAATATTGGTACAAAATATTTTTTTGCAATTTACAGCTTTTATTGATCACGGGCACCGCATGTGATCTTTTACTAGCATTTATATGCATGTAGCATCATTCATGTCACTCAAAAGATCACACTTCAGTTACCAATCACTAAAACGAAATTTACTTAAAACCTTAATTTAAAATTAACAAACCAGCTACAGTGCAAGCCTCAAATTTTAGGACAATACTTCCTCTTGACATGTGAGAGAACAGGTTATTAATTTGGAATATGAATAGATAAAAGTGTGTGGCAGTGACTTCACAGTATTTTAAAAATATAGAAATGGATGACATTGGCACAAAAAGTACAACTAAGGCAGTGGCAGTGAATTCACAGTACTTTATAAAATATAGAAATGGATGGCATTGGCACAAAAAGTACCAACTATCGCAAAGCAGTTGCATGTTGTTAGCCACAATGGAACAAAAGGAGGGTGTCAATGTCCCACTGGTAAGATATACTTCAAACCGAAGCAAGATGCAACTCAATTTATATGACGAAAAGCAAGGATAATGGAGAGAGAGAGAGAGAGGGTTCTTGACTCTCAACGTGGAGAAAAACAAAACAAAACAAAACAAATTTATCGACAAAAAAAGAGTGAAAAAAAGAATGCAAAACCACTAGCACAATAAAAGATACCACATATGCTATTCAATGCAAACCATGGATGGCTTGAATGTCCACAAGTTGAGTGTAGACCATTTCCACAAAAAGAAAAAAGGAAAAAATAACATTGGTTATAGACTCAGTTGTGTGAATGGACATGCTCCAAAACACTAAACAAGATCACAAGAGCTGGGACCACCTCACACGGAATGTTCTTGAGAAGAAAATAAAAAAACAGAATGGTAGTAACTATAAATACAAATTTCAATCATAAAAAACCATCATGGTCATCATCCTAACCTTTATCCCATACGGATCAAGTCAGCCATATGAATTCTCTTTTTCCATTCTTTCCTATTATACACCAAGTCTCCCCTACAATTTAATTTTTTAAAATCATTTGTATATACTTCATCCCATGTAAGTTTTGGTCGGCCTCTTTGTCGCTTACCTAAAAGGAAAATAAATCTTCCTCTTCTAATAGGTGCATCTTCGGATAGTTGTATACGATCATACCACCTAAGTTTACTTTCTCCAATTTTATCATGAATAGTCGTTATTCCTAGTTTTTCCCTCACCGTCTAGTCACTGCTATTATTCATCGTAGCATCCTTATTTACGCTACGTTGTTCCTGTTTCTTTTTCAACACACTGCTCCTTACAATATAGCTATAGCCTAATAAAAATCATGTAGAATTTTATTTATTTATTTATTTATTTATTTAGTTAGTTAATATTTGTTTGTCACATAGGATACAACTAGCTTGTCTCCATATTCTCCACTCTACTCCAATCCTACTTCTACATCACCATCTATCTCCCCAACTTTTTTTGTAATATTGACCCTAAATCCCAGAAGTAATTATATTTAAATAGTAATATTTATTTTTCATGAATTTCAATCATAAAAATAAATTATACAAATGCAAACTAATTGTAGAAATGCACACAATTATAGAATTTCATTGGAAGTTTCAAACTCTTCCACCACGACCACCCCTCCGGGGGTTATTTCTAATATCAAATCATTTTCCCAAAGTGGGTATTTTCAATTGATCAGCATGAATAATACCACCGCAGGTAGAACTTAAACGCTTGTGCCCATTGCTCTGACAATTATGATGTTTTGAATACAATAATATTTTACCAATGAAAAAGAATAATGGAGCCTAACCATTTCCATTCCATGTTAGTCCCACAACATCCCATTGAAGAAATCAAGTTTTCAGAAACATCAACCACACCCAGCAATGCTCAACAGATTTCCAAGAATCTCTAAGCAATGACGATGTCTAGACCATGTCCAAAATGACCAAACTAACCCTTAAAATCATACTTACATCATGCATCAGTCTTTTTACTCATTTTGTCATCATATTAGACAGATTAAGTTCTTCCTGAACTCACTGAGAATAGTATACAATGCTACCAAAAATAAAATTTAATTACATCACAAGTCTGCAATTCAAATTTAGTCAGGCATTTACCTCATCAATGGTTTGAGTTTTACGGCTACGGTGCAAAAATAAATTTGACTTGACAAGCATCCACGAAGACTGTTGGGAAACTGCAATGCATATTAAATCCATGACAGAGTCAAAAGAAAGACAGCATATCATATAAAGTCAAATCTTTAAAACTCCAAGTCATGTTCCAGGAAAGCTATCTCTAGCAGAAATCAAATACCTGTTGATTGCTTGCGTTCAAACCTCTTGGAATTCAAACGGGCATCACAAGCATCTTCCTCACAAGAGGCATCTGATATTTCCAATTCTGCATTAATTTCAGCATTTGACTTCTCTTGAGGGATTGAACAGTCATCAAAGGCATTATCCATGTTGTCCTTGCAGATCCTTCAATATAAATCACATATAACACAATAAGCACTTTTAATGTGCATTATTAAAGAATCTTTAAAACATATTGTTAGTTTCTGACAGAAGAAGATAGCAATTTCTTGTTCACATTAGATTAGGTATATTCCTAGACTTTTGTTTCAATATTTAGTACAAATGAATTAATTAGCTGTATTGTAAATATTATTTAGATAACAGATCAATGTTAAAAATTTAAAATGTTATTATAAAAACTTATAACTCAAGATTATAAATTATAAAAAATTATAAACTTGACATAGAGAAAGCAAATGATCATGTGAATTGGAATTTCCTGCTTTATTTGTTACAGAGAATGGGGTTTGGAAGTAAATGCAGGAAATGGATTGAGACTTGTCTCTCGTTTGTCAAGTTTTCTGTTCTTGTGAACGGGTCTCCTGCCGGCTTTTTTGGGGTACTCGGGGATTAAGACAAGGAGATCCCCTGTCGTCTTTCCTTTTTCTTATTGTCATGGAGGGCTTAAGCAGACTTATGCGCAAGGCAGAGGATCTTGATCTTATTAAGGGCTTTATGGTGGGAAGAGATCCTGCCCATCAGATGGAGATCTCTCATTTACTTTTTGTGGATGACACCCTGGTTTTCTGTGATGCTGATGCGTCTCAACTTGGATATTTGAGGTGCATTTTGGCCTGTTTTCAGGCTGTTTCTAGTCTGGAGGTCAATGTGACTAAAAGCGTGCTTGTTCCGGTTGGGGATGTTCAGGATATCTCTTCTTTAGCTACAGTCCTTGGGTGTAGGGTGAGTTCTTTTCCTATTCAGTATTTGGGTTTGCCTTTAGGGGTTTCTTTTAGAACTGTGGGAAGTTCGGACCCTGTGATTGATAGATCTGCGAAGAGATTGGCAGGATGGAAAAAGCAATATTTGTCTAAGGGGAGGAAGATTACGCTCATAAAGAGCACTTTATCGAGCCTTCCCAAATATTTTTTATCTGTGTTCCAAATTCCATGCTCGGTTGCTAATAGGATTGAAAAAATTCAAAGGGAATTCCTTTGGGGCAGAAGGGGAGAAGAGTTTCAGTATCATCTTGTCAATTGGGAACACGTTTGCAAGCCTTTGAAGTTTGGTGGTCTTGGTATCAGAAGACTGGTTCCCTTTAATCAAGCTCTCTTGAGTAAATGGCTGTGGAGGTACGGGAAGGAAAGACATCGCCCATGGCGAAGGTTTGTATCATGTCGGTATGGGGAAGAGAGTGGAGGTTGGTCTACTCATCCGATTTCTCTCAAGGGAGGAGTAGGGGCGTGGAAATTCATTTGGAAGGCCTTTATCTAGTTCATTTCCCAGTTTATACAGTATTGCAGTTGATAGACATGCCTACGTAGCCGATTGTTATCGGCTTGATAGTAGTGGGGTTACGTGGGACGTGCACTTTCGACATTCTTTTCAGGATTGGGAGTTGGACGAGGTATGTGTTTTTCTGGATTTGCTGTATCGACAGGAGGCAGTTGGCAGAGAAAGTGATGATCTGACATGGATTCCCTCTTCCCATGGTCGCTTTGAAGTTCGATCCTTATTCTTATGTCTTTCTAATTTTGATATCGTTGATTTTCCGTGGAAGACCATCTGGCGCTCTATGGCTCCAACTAGGGTGGTATTCTTTGTATGGACCGTTGTATGAGGTAAGATCCTGACGATTGATAATCTAAGGAAAAGAGGCAATTGTTTAGTTAACTGGAGTTGCCTATGCAAATAAGATGGTGAGTCAGTTGATCATATTCTCATGCATTGTCCTGTGGCGAGAGACTGTTGGAATCTTATCTTTGGCCTATTTGGTATGCATTGGGTTATGCCTTGTTATCCTAAGGATTTGATTCATGTTTGGAGAGGATGCCGCGTGAGAAGTGATGTTCGCGATTATTGGAGAGTTGTACCACATTATGTTTGGTGGTGCTTATGGAAGCAGAGGAATGGTAGAATGTTCAAAGGGAAAGAGTTGTCTACGGCGATTTTGAAACTTTACATCATTCGCTCTCTTTTCAGTTACGTGAAGAGGAAGTCATGCTCCTCTTCAAATGATTGAATCATTTTTTTGGATTCTTTGGGGCCTTAAAACCCCGGTTCCACTTTTGTATAAGGGATGCGTTCCCCTCTTGAACGCCTTTTTATATTCAATTATTACTTATCAAAAAAAAAAAAAAAAAAATTTATAAACTCAAGATAAGTGACTACCATTGCTGGTACCCAAATTTAGATGAGAAAATAAGCAGATTAATGTCACTGTAAAACTATGTCAAATCTTTATGAAATTTTCTTACTTTGATATGAAACAAAAATAATGAGAAACAAAGAACTAGAATAACAAAATACAGGATCGTCAAGGGATGATTAGAATGAACTTGTGCACACATTGAAAATGAGAAATATTGAAATAACTTGTCTACAAGAAACTAATTGGGAAAAGACAACGCTAGAGATTAAAAAGATACAAAAATAAATAAAAAATCGGGAGAGAATAAAAATTGCATTAAAAATAGTATTAAACATAATAAGTGTTTATGAACCACATGGAGTACCATATAAAAAAGCAAAAGAGATATTTGAAGGTCACTAGATGAAACAAAAATATATATATCATTTCATGAAAGTATATCTATAAGAGGTGTCTTCAATGGATATATACAAGGAAGTTGATTGAACAAGATACACATGAATTCATTTAGGATGTGATTTTGTAGAAAGAAAAAGAAAAGGAAAACAATTCTAGAAATTGCAAATGCATATGACCTACAAAGAGAAAATACTTCTAAAGAGAGAGAGAGAGAGAGAGAGAGAAAGCAAAACATTTAATAACATTCAAGAGAAGCATGAAAGAAAAATAAATTGACTACTATTTATATGGAAGGAGGAGAGGGTCGCACATATGGAAATATTGTACGGTGATTATTTGCCAAATATATATATATATACATTGTAAGGTGATCGAGGAGAAGTCACACAAACTAATATTGAATACAAACTGGATGTAGTTATCAAATAGTTTAATATCAAAGGGCAAGAAAAGGATATCTGAACAAAAAGAAAGAAAATAACTAAAAGGTACAAGAGGCTAAATTTAGAGACAAGTTACTAAAAGAACAGCAATAGAACTTGAATGACAATGTGAATAATTTATAGTCAAAATTAGCATAACATATTAGAAATCTCAGTAAGGGACAACAAAAGAGACCAAAATTCAAATTGAAGAGATTTATAAGGAAATGACGTGGGTTCAGTGGGTTATTCCCAGGTCTTCCAGAGGCTTGGTTGAGGCTTGGAGAGGATGTACGGTGGGGGCCCAAGTTCATGATTTCTGGAGTGTCACGCCTTTGTGGGTCGGGTGGAATTTATGACTTGAAAGAAATAGAAGATCTTTTGAAGGGAAGGAGAACCCTATTGGCGCGCTGAAGTTCTCCATTATTAGAACTCTTTTTTGTTGGGTTCTAGACGAAAATTGTAAATCTATGGATGAAATAGTTGATTTTTTGGATTCCTTGAGAGTTTAGAGGCACTATTTGGCCTTGCGTAGTTTTTGAGGGATGCGTTCCCCTTTTGAACACTTCTTAATACAAATTAAATTATCAAAAAAAAAAAAATGGCTGTGGAGGTATAATGACTTGACACAGTTATTGATACTAGAGAAGAAAAAAGGTTTCAAAGAATGGAAAAGAGTAACAGGAAAAACTAAGTGATGGCAGATTATATCTGGCAGTACTCAATAAGAAGAAGATGTTCTTGGGGTTATCAGATTTCAGAGGGCACTCCATGATAAACATGTGGAGACTTTAGATTTCATCAAGTACCAGTAAGGTAAGTGTTGGAGAATATCAGGCGAGATGAGGTGCTCCAGGAAATGGATGGTTTGAACTTTGAAGTGATCAGTTTGTAAGGTGTTAATGGCTGCAATTTGCTTCTCTAGAAGTGTATTTGGGCCACTATAATACCTTTCAAGGTGGCTTTTTTGCTGTTTAGCAATTCATGGGCAGATAGTGACCATTAATAACTTAGCAAAGAGAAGTAAATTGATTAGCTATTGTCATAGTTGTTAAAGGCTCAAGGCGCACTAAGGCGCCAAGGGCCTCATGGAGCCTAAGCGCAAGGCGCAGTATAAGGAGCGTGTATATAATAATGCATATATTATTATATATATACTCATAATCAAGCTGTAATTGCAGTTAATGTAAGTAGTGATCCATAAATTTATGAATTTTGTCAAATATTTCATAAGGTTAAACAATACGGTATATGATATAGAACCTTTTAATTTAGTAGTCAATAAATAAAAAAGAAAATGATATGAATAAATGATTAAAAAATACAAGGTGCGCCTTTTTTTTAGCCTGGAGCTTACTAAAAAGCGTGAGCCTGAGGGCTTTATGTGAGCCTGATTGAAGGGGCATGGCCTGTAGTAGGTTGAGGCGCTCTGGTTGAGCCTTGATGAGCCTGGGGCTTTTTTGGAGCCTAGGCGCGCCTTTAACAACTATGGCTATTGTGCTGAATGTGCAAAAATCCAGAGGAGACAGTAACATACTAATATCAAATGCTTATTCACTATAGGTGGCAGGGGAACAATAGTGTCGGCATTCTCTTTGTTCAGGTTCAATTGGGTGTTTGGGGTGTTTCCCAATTTATTGGCAGGCTTTGTAACATGAACTCTCCTATTCTCTTTAATGCACCCGTATCAACATGACATGTCATGGTAATAGGTATGAGATATGTATCTGACACGAGCCAAATTAGACACATCAATCCAGATGATGGAAGAAGAAGAAGAAAAAGCTCAAACATAATAGCATAGGAGGGTTCCTTTTCCTAAAATAGAAGGAAACTCCCATTTACCACATCCCATTTATTGTAAAACTCTAAACAAGTATATCATTACATTAAAAAAAATAAATTAATAACATCATTGATTACACTATTATATAACATATAATGTATTTAAATATATAGGAAGCTTTCACAAACCCATGTCCAACTTTGAACATATTTCAAATCAAGTCCCCAAATCCTAGAATTTGGGATCCAAGGAACTCCAACACTTAGATAAATGTACGTATACATAACCGAGTCCATATAACATAGGCGGCAAACTTGGTCGTCAATCGAAGAAAAAACAAAGTAGGCACCCAACAAGGAGGAGGAGGAGGGGGGCATTGTGCAGCGTATGGGGCATTTTTGAAGGGAGAGGACACATGTTTTCTTAGAAGGTGGAGGAGTCAATCCTAGGAAGCAAAAATACTTCTCCTAGGGCTATCATGGGCATTTTTGAAGGGAGAGGACACGTGTTCTTTTAGAAGGTGGAGGAGTCAATCCTAGGAAGCACGGATACTTCTCCTAGGGCTGTCGTGGTAGTATATGACGCACATGGGGCTAGAAGTGTCCTGAAATTTGAATATTTTATTGTTTTTGTTAGACACGCCATGGACATAGCTTGGACATGGCTGGACCATTTTTAGGACATGGCAGTGTAGTTTTGTAATTATTTTTCTTAGAAGAACAAGATTCAATGAAATTTCAAATATATTATGGATTATTTAGAAAAATAATACAAAATTTTAGAAAATAACAAGCATCTAGCTCTAAACTCCAACGTAGTGATTTTCTTCGTGATTATATGGATAAAATGAACAAAATTTATTAATTTTACATATAGAATAATATATTAAATTATTATTTTTTGGCATGTCCATGCCATATCTGTGTCCTACATTTTCTGAGATTTGTTGTATCGTTGCGTCCGTATCTTATTGTGCCTGTGTCCGCATTTGTGCTTCCTAGAGTCAATCCAATGGCTAAAGAGCCATAGTTTAAATTCTTCATTCAGTTGTAGACGGGGAGAGTTGACTGCTCCCCTGAGAGTTTTTCTATGGATTAGATTCTAAATTTTTTCCAAGGGTTAGTTTTTTTTTTGTTTTGTATGCATTATATGTACTTTAATACACCCCCTTCTAACTCTTTGAAAATATTATATACTTATACTCATTTATCAGAGGTCGAGGGGAGAACTACCATCCAGCCTTGGGATAAACTGTTCTTGAAAATTTAATAACCTCCTTCACAACCTAACCTAAAGAAATAATATATATATATATATATGTATAACAAATTCTTCTCATACCTCACATATTATGGTGATGTGTTGGGACCAAGTGTAATACAAACTGTAGGGTACATGTTGCCATGTACTACAGACTGCTCGTGAAGATAGTTATAGCAGAGGAAACTTATCTTGTATTTGATTGGAACTCCCATAGGGCTTACCAACTTGACCAAAACAGCAAGAAACGTATTATCTAAAAAACATATCACGTAGTTTCTAGCTTTCTAAATTAATAGAACATTCACTACACTGAAGTAAGAAAAGCATGACGGTATACCATTTACAATGAGTTTCATCAATGGAATCTGCAAGCGTAGCTGGTATACGCCTCCATTTATAGCAATCATCACAACACACCCAGGCATTCCGGAGCGGTAGACATTGGTTCCCTAAGGCACTCGGCACCAGCTCTGAGTTAAACGTTCCTTCAGTTGGACTTATGTTGCCAGTTTTGGGCTTTCCAAGATCATCTAATGTATACAACAAAAGTTTAGCTAAAATCAGTTTCAATGAGCAAGACAAAAAAATCTGTGCTCCAAATGTGTAACACTTAGAAAAAAAGGAAAGAAAAAGGCAACAAAATATGAAAGGAATTCATGACTAGACAAAGATACTTGATTGAGTATGTGATCATCAGTTATAAACTATTCGCACCTGTTTCTGGGTGAATATCAGTTTTGCATAGCTCAAAATCGCCTTTTTCTTTAATTTTGCTCTTATTAACTGACTTCACAGGGCTTTTCTTCTGTCCAGAAGCATTTTCTCCCTTGCTCTTCGCTAAATCAGGCACTTCTGACTTGCTCTTGGTGACTCTCCTAGCTTTTGAACTTTTGGGAAGTTTTTGCCCCTTTGATTTAGTGGAAGGATGCAATTTGCCAGAAAACCAAGATTCTGGTGACTCAAGCGCGACACCAGGACTGGAATATAGATCGATTTTAGTGACACTTTCAACTTTCGAAGTCTCAAAGGAGACTCCAAAGTCGGTCACTCCTGACAAAGGCAATGGTTCCCTAGAAAATCCCTCACTGCTTGAGGTGTTTCCAGAAGCATTACTAGTGGTAGCTGAAATAGAAGCCTCACTAGAGCAAAAACCGTCTCCCTTCTCCCTATGTCCACATTTCTCCAATACTCTAGACTCTGGACCAGGTAATCCCTCTTCCATACTGCAACTATATGCCTGATGAAGTTTGTCTTTCTTCTTTCCTTTCTTCCTGCTCACCTGTTGCAGATTCGAACTTGTAACATCTCGATGAGTAACACAATTTTGCGAGGAAATCAGAACACCATGCAAATCTTCTTGAACTTTTCCATTTAGTTGAGAATCAGGAATTAGGTTGATCACTTCTGAATCAGGTGAAGTTCCTGGATCTAGATATCTGTTATCAACTGCCTGATGATCATCTGTAGCCTTTCCAGCCGACTTTTCATTGACCACAGTGGTCTCCAAGTCCTTATCTGCAAGATCGACATCATGAACAGAAACACTAGGTGACATTATCCAATTTCCAGGGTTCCCGTTACATTTTTTGAGATTGCTGATCCCAAGCACCTCTGGCTCTGATTTAACTTCAACATCATTTGCTAAGTTAGGAAATTCTATATTGCTTCCCCAGTACCCTTTAGGACAACTATCAATGACAGGAACTACATCCGTCACACAACTCTGATTCACTTTGTTCCCCAGTTTAACCTTCAAACGAATGGTTGTAGATGAGGCACAGCTCTTTCCGTTTGACCTTTGCAAGCATCCACCTGACTCATTCTTATTCTGCTTTCCTTTTCCACGACCATTCCTTAAATTTCGTGATTTTTTATTCTCAGTTTGACTGACTTCAAGCCCAATATTCTGCTCAAAAACCTCTGATATTTTCCCCAATAATCCCCAAACAGAAGAACGAGCTCGTTTGCATAAAAAACTTCTTCTTCTTCTCACCACCTTCAGCAAAGTCAAATCTGACAATGGTTCCTTGTTGGCTGCTTTCCTGCATTTTCTTCCAGCCTTTCTTGTCTGAGCCTTTTGTTTTGATTTACTCATGCGAGTACTCCTCTTCCGAGGAGATGAACAACTACTGTCTGGACATTTTGACTCAGATGCACCATCAAGATTAACATTACCATTTCCTTCATTATCTCCCCATCCAAAAGATTCATCAATGCTGAGAGAGTTAAAATCACCAGTAAAAACATCGTTTCCTAAAATATCTGATTCAGTGAAGGACTTTGAAGAATCATTATTAGTAACACATAAGTGTTCAAATGATGGCAGAGAGACTGGTAAATCTTCAATGGAATTATAAGGATCCATGTAGGACGATCCTTCCATAAAATTGCATACATCCTCTCCTATAGGTGATATCTCGGTGATCATATCAACCTCAATACACTACAGTTAAAATATGAATAGCGAGCACAAAAACCTAGGAGCCTTTATTGCCAGGTGCACTAGGAGCCATGCAAAGTCGCTCGCCTGACAAAGGCAATACGTTAATTTCTGAAAATAGTGAAAAAGAACATATATATCCTTGAGATAAGAAATATATATCACTTTGACATATTTATGACCATGGACATAGCTTGGATAAAATAGAGAAGTCAAAAGAGAAATGACAATTCTGCAAAGGCAAATACAAGTTGTAAATGCAAGTACTTGTATTCAATTATAATAATATAATATAGCTAAAACGTTAATAACTTAATACCTGCCAAAAGATGCACAAAATCCAAGCCAAAAAAAGATCAGATTCAAAATCTAAGAAATCATACACGTCCATGTATGAAGTTCAAAAAATCACTACAACAAATTCAGCTTGCAGTATCATCATAAACAGGAATATTTCAAAATAAATATCGAATACACAAGAGAGTAAAAATGTAAAATCTAAAAGCTATTACGTAACGATTCAAATTCTAGTATTGATTTTTACTTAATCTAAAGGCATTGCAAATCAACAGCTAATACAGATGTATCCCTCCATAATATGAAACTAAACAAATAAAGGCCCTCGTTGTGTTTCATAACAAAAACACATACTCTAGTTTTTCTTTCTTTTATTTTTCAGCTAAAAGCTCGGCTCCTTCCTGCATATCAAGCTTCTTCAAGAGAAAATTATATTCTACTAATACACATATAATTGGGATAGAAGGTACTTATAAGAAACAGAAAGATGATGATGATGATCAGAGAAATATACAACGACATATATATATATACACAAAATTTTAATATAGCAGGCAAATGCATATACATATACACATAAATATATAATTTATATCAAATACACTCACGCTTACCTACCAAAGAAAAATTTATATCATACAACACTGTTCTCGGAGTTCAGAGAACAAAAAACCTAAAATAAAGTTTCTTGCTATTCCGAGCAAAATCAAAACCCTAATTCGAGGGATTGCAGGCCAATGCCGACATAGAGAAGCGAACAAATACACATACACATTTAGCATACAATGAATTCTGCAGAGAAGTACCGAAGAACAAAGGGATCAAACCTGGCGAAGAGAGCAGAGAAGAAATCAAACCGCTGATAATCGAAGGAGACGACTTATATATTCATATATGCGTATATATATGTGTGCGTGCGTGCGCGCTGTGTGTAATTTTTTTAAGAGAGAGAAAGAGGGGTTGGGAGAGATAGAGAGAGAATCGCTTTGTGTTGTAAACTGACGGTTTTTAAGGGAAAAGTAGGGAAACTCAGACCGAAACGTGGAGTTACATGTTATCTCTTGACGCAATTAGGTGAGGTAAACGCCGAGTGAGATCTGTACTCGCCCGTTGAGAAAAAAAACAGAGCACCGTTTTGGTAATTAGGCGATTGGGAGAAAAGTGGAGGGCCTTTTGGTAATTTGACGCGTAATCCTTTGCTTTTTAGAAGTTTGTAATTACTGATTATTTGTGATTACTGATTACCATGCCATCAGTTATCAGATTATGTCATAAATATACACCATATATTGTCTTTAATCCATCAAATATTGTGAAAACATTCATCATTAGCGAAACTACCCACTATATTGTCATTTTATTTATTACGTAACAAAAATATGGTGTACAAATCATCATTAGTGCAACTATTCACTGTGTTGTCGTTTTATTTATAACTTAATTTAAAGAAAATAGTAAATACTTTCATTTATTCCTTAATTCAAAAAAAATATAGTGATGTGGTGTGCATGACGGAATGAAGATATTTGGAAAATTCCAAACATAAAAATATTAAAGTCTTGTTTGGCTTGTGATTGCCAAAACAATTTTCTTTTTGGAACTATTTTGAGAGAACAATTTTTAAAGAATTGAGTTCCAATGGTATCATTTTATTTTTTGGACGCTATCCTGTACATCCAGACGCAAGACCACGGGCCCCCATTTTAATTAAGTCCGATTTTGTTCTACCTTGAGTGAGAATTCGAATTTTGAACGTCTGAAACTCATGTGAGGATAAAGGAGGAAAATTATTTTCTAAGTAAGGCCTAATTATTTTTATTATTATGTGACCATTTTTCCTCACTTTGGTCATTGAATTACAAGTTCTTTAAAACAAAATGAGTGAGGAGGTTTGCCAGGAGTGATGTTAATTACCTGAGGAAAAAAAAAAAAAACTTTAATTTAATAAAAAAACACACTTTATTTACTATAATGTAAACACTAAAAAATAAACTCATCAAAAAATACTTTAGGCAAAAGTAATTACAAATCTGTCAATTTTTATTATTCATGAATACATAAAGACCATATTACCCTTAAGTACTTTATGAAATTTACTAAACTAACGTTGCTTCTCTTTCCATTTTCTCTCTCTAATTTACCCCCCTTTCTTAGGGATGGCAACGGGGCAGGTTTGGAGCGGATTTCCCTAAATCCCGCCCCGCCCCTTTTAATTTTTGTCAAGTCCATGCCCGCCCCGAGACTCGCGACGGGTTGAATTTTCATATCCAGCCTCGCCCCACCCCGTTGGGAAATACTATGCCCCCGTACCCGCCCTGCTAACAAATTTTTTTTCACACTTTTTGGAACTTAAGCTCTTACTATTTAAATGTGGAAAGTCTGGAAATGACACAACATAAATAAATTATGTATCCCAACAAAAAAAATAAAATAAAATAACATGCACATAACATAATTCAGATAATATAATAAACAGAAATAAAAGTTTAATACAACCAAATCACAAGAAGTTATAAGCTCCAACTTCCACCATAACCAAAACAAAAGCAAATTTAATATTAAGTTTACATCCCAAATTAGGATTGTAAGAGATGGGTAACTGGGTAAGCCGCTAAATAAGTTTTATATATATATATATATATATAGTTATATGCTTAGCGGAGCGGGCCCCTGGGATATATATTGAACCCTCACCCGTCCCGTGACCCATGACGGGTACAAAATTTATATCCATACCCGCCCCAACGGTATAAAAAGTGTTCCCATATCCGTTATTAACGGGGCGGGGCCCCGGCGGAGCTGTAAAAATTGACATCCCTACCCTTTCTCAGACCTAGGACACACTTCACCCCTTGCCCCTTTTTCGCTTGATAGCTTGGTTTTATTTGAACATGGAAAACCCATTTTTCAATCACACGTCCTATGCTGATAATAATCGCAACTAAAGTATTATTCCCACAAAAAAATGGAATTAAGGTGTTAGAATGAAAATCGTTTGGAGATTCCAAAGAATCGGGACCTAGTAAGGTCCAACTTTGAACTCTTTATCTTTGGCTCCGACTTCGAAAGGCTTGCAGAAGGCAGTTATTGAGTGGTGCCGGAAACCAATGATCGATGGCATCTGTGGTGCCTGTGTTGGTGGTGGTGTTGACAACTCATCATTACCGCCTGTATCTATATAATTGCAGAGTTTCGACGCGGGTGAGATGGAAGAAAAGGCAGCAATGGCGGCACCCGTGATGGTTGAATGAGATGGTTCGGCTACAGCGGCGACTGTTCAGACAAAAATCGAAACAATTCAGATATGAACAATTTAAACCCAAACCTAAACCTAAAAAACTTGCCTGAAACTTCAAATTTGTGTAAACAGATTATCATGTACTTCTATTCTTGAAATTTCCTTACCTATAATGATAACTACAATTTTCGCTAATGCATTTTTGGCATATCCCACACGATGAAACTCAATTTAAGAAGCATGTTCAATTTTACTTGATTTGTTTAAGTGTTAGTTTTATATTCTTAAGTGCAAGTCTTGCATTATTCAACAAAAGTTTTACTTTACTTAAGTATAAGTCTGACAATATTCAGCATAAATTTTACATTATTCAGTAAATGTTTTACATTGTGGTTCTTAAGGGTAATTTAGTCTCCATGTATTTATGAACAGTTAAAAGTGATGTATGTGTAATTATTTTTGCCTAAACTATTTTTTTATGAGTTATTTTTTATTTTTTTCTTTGTACGTTATAGTAATTAAGACTTCTTGGGGTGTTTTTTTTTATTAAATCAACCAAAATAATAATAACAATAGAGAATAACTATGATGCGTGATTTTTTTTTTTTTTTTTTAAAAAAACAAATTGAATGATGCACAATTAGTGTATCATAAATCTCATTTAAAATAATTGATAGAGTAGATTAATTTAAAAAAAAAAAAAATTGTTCGATCAAAGTATGAACGTCGACAAGGGTAGCAAATGAGCCCAGCTTTGGCTTGTACGGTTTTCGTAGGGAGGGCTGCCGGGGGGGGGGGGGGGGGGGGGGTGGGCGGCTGAGATCAGTTTGATTTGTCATTAATTTAAAATGTTCAGACTCAATTCTTATATATATATTGTAATTTTAAAAGGGACAATATGAAAATTTTACAAGTATAATACTTGTAAAATTTTCATATTGTCCCTTTTAAAATTACAATAAATATATATACACACACACACACACACTATATATTACCCTCCTTTATACAAATCCCTGAGTTCGTAACTGCTCGTATTTAAGGTCATTTTAATTTATTCATGGACTCATGTATGTCTATATGAGTTTAGTGTTTACTAACTTACACTAGCGAAGCGAAGGCGGCTCATTTAATAAAATCAATTCAAAAATCAAATTCAAGTTTAGCTTGTTTACTAAATCGAGTTGAGTCCATCCTAAACATAAGTTTTGTATATATTTTTATAAAAATTATTTTCTTATTTATTTTTTTAGAAAAAATTTTAAAGAGGGAGGAGGGAAAGAGAAAATCGCTTTGTGCTATAAACTGAGGTTTTTAAGGGAAAAGTAAGGGAAAGACTCCATCACAAAATATAGAGTTGTTTGCAAGGACAGAAAGAGTTGAAGGACCAGGGGGATTTTCTCCATCTCTTATATTATATATATATATATTTTATAATAATATATGCTTCTTCTTTTTTAATAAAAATATGGAAAGTGACCCCTGAATTTTCTCGTTCTTTATAAAATTCTATATATATGTTTCTTAATTTTTTTCTCGTAAATTATTTCCTTAATCCTTATATTCTATATCTGTAAATTAATTTCGTCCAAAAAAATATTACTTTCTTTTTATATATATACATATAGACATTCATAAACATTAACTTATATGCATGTACTGTAAATATATGTTATGGTATATAATATTACAATACGATAATGTGCCCCTGAAATTTTTTTTTTGGCTCATCCCTGGGTGCATGGAGAGTTTTTGTACTCGCTAGAGTTTGTTGTTGAGAAAAAAAAATAGAGCACCGTGTTGGCAATTTGATAATACTAAGCAAAGTGGAGGGCCTTTCGGTAATTTGACTCCTTTATGGAAGTTTGTAATTACTTTTATTAGTATTTGTGAAAAACTGAAAACCATGCCATCATCCGTTATTATCAGATTACATCATACATATGCACCAGATATTAATGAACTGAGAGATCCCGGTCAGGCAGTCCTGGTTTGTCGAGGATTTGAGTCTACATACTTTCCACTACGCACCAAATCAGAAGTTACTCCAAGCAGACGATTACATGTGAGTGAGGGATGGAAAGACAGAGAAAGAAGAAAATTAATAAATGCACTCCTCTTATTTATATATATATATATATATAATTTTTTAATGCACTCCTCTTATTTATATATATATATATATATAATTTTTTAATGCACTCCTCTTATTTATATATATATAATGCACTCCTCTTATTTATATATATATATATATATAATTTTTTAATGCACTCCTCTTATTATTGGTCATTCACGAAAAATTATAAAGAAGTGGAGGTCTCACTTTACATGGACCAATTAAAAGCATTCGATTAAAAAATTCTCTGCTACTACTTTGCCATGAAGTACATTTATCACTACAGTTGTTGTATAGAGTAATGATTCGAAATACCAATTAATATAGTCAGACAAGAACTTTGTGAATGATAAGAATAAACTCTCTTACATTTATCTAAATAGTTGACTCGTCGAGTCATTATTTTTTGTTACGAGCAAAACCAAGATAAAATCAAGAATCATAATAGAAAAGTAAACATACCACACAAAGAACAAAAAAATTATACGTTGTTCGGCAACATCCTACGTCAACAGTTGGAATCCGAAAGTCTTCACTATGCATAAAATCGAAAATTATAAAATTTCAGTCCCTCATTATATTTCTGTACAAATTCTAGAATATCTCTCTTATTCCACTCCAAACCCTTATATATTGGGTTATAGGAGACTAATTAGGGTTCAGGACACATGAACAAAAAATCGGGTCCCACACAAAACTCATC